CGACTTTTCTCCCGGTGAGCGATCGATGTGGTGCTGGAAGTGGGTCTGGACCGCTCACTGTATCTGCTTTCTGGCCATGGTCTGGATGAGGATGGTGGCCTGTTGCCTCCGCTGCGGTTGTGAATGCACGTCGCGAACTTCGGCTGCTCTGCACCGCCGGTGCTGGAGTGCTGGGTCACTTCTGTTTTCCTGGTGTAATTAGGCAAACGAGATATAATAATAATAAATTATAATTTTAGAAGGCGTGCCCCGGAGCCGAAAAGCGGCTAGGAGGAACCCAAGTGGCCGGGCATTTTGGGCCGTTTCTGTGGGAAGCGCGACGTTTGTGTGTTTAAAATATAAACGAACAGGCTCCAAGAAACTGCGCTATAAAATTTTTTGAAATTATAACGCGAAAATGGAAAATGCGGGGTGCTCAGCAGGAGGAGTGGGCCTTGTTATGTTAATTCTTACAGCCACATGGCCACCCAATCGATGTTAGCAGCGTTTCGCTGCTCCAGCCAGAAGAAACCAATCCCAATCCCGCACTGGAGCCACAAACCTGAAACCCAATCCCCGGCTCCACACGAGACCCCTACCTCGAGCTCGGTTCCAGTTTCCCAGTTTCCAAGTTTCCCAGTTGCTAGTTGCCAGTTGCCAGTTTGCCGGTTCCCCAGCTGGGCTACCACCAAGTTGTCGGCCAGACTTTTGCTATTTCTATGACAACTTGGTAGCTCTTGGGTAACTTCTAATGATTTTCTATGCCCGCCGCTGGTTGAGCAGTTGCCCCCGGAAGGCGGGGAGGCCCCATGGAGCTGCGCCGAGGGATCCACTCGCGGTTCCATGTGCTCGGTGTGGTTGTAAAATGTACGTTTTCGGTGGAGTTTGCGTCATGCGATGTTAATGGAACAGGCGATCAGAGCTCGCTAAGCGGATGACGTAACACGTAACGGCAAAAAACGTCGCTACGCTGCGAGCGAGACAGCGATAGGCCCCAGAAGGTCGTACTCAACCCTGTCTAGACTGTCGGTGTGTGAGTGGGGCCAATGTACTCGCGGTCAGTGCATTGCACCCTCTCATTCCAATCTTTCCGCTCGCGCTCTTCGCTCGTTCTTCTGGGCTCAGAAGAAAGAGCGCTAAACGGGGCGCAGATTTGGATTTGGATATGGTTATGGAGTGCAGGAATGGACAGTAGCTGTGGGATATTCCATACTACCTGTGAAGTAGTATACGTGATATATATAGTATTTCATTTGATTCTGATATTGTTACTTATTTTGTGACAAAGTGCCTTACTTATTACCAAATCGGGTGCTCAGTGTATTTATTCTCAGAGTTGTTGGGAACTATGCTTTATTGCTGAAACTCCACTGTTGCCAAGTCAGCTCGATGCTTTCAGGTACTCCTCACCCCTCCACACGATTGCGCCCTTTTGCCAGCTGCATAGTGACTGCAATTACGCCAACGTCATCGTGTTCGTACGGCGTGCAATTTCTTCTATGTGCACGTAGCTGCACTTATCGGCCCCTCCTGTCCGCCCTCCCTGGCTGCACAGAAAGAAAAAGATAAGTGGTTATTCTGGAACACGTTTAAAACATATTAGCATTATTCAAGCATTGAACTTTTTATTCAAGAAGCTTTATTCGGATAAGCTTTGAAAACAGACGTTACGACAGCAGGCAGTCTACGCTCTGGTCTAATATTTATCTATTCACAAAATAAATTTGAAATGTAAATATCTTACATTGAAAGAAAACGTATGTGCTATTGCACTTTACTAGATACTCTGGTAAGAATCATAAAGTTAATATAATCTGAAATAGGATATTTTCAATATTTCGGTCCTCCCATAGCATATTCAATCCCATACTCTGATTCCCAAATGCTATTAATTTAATCAAATGGATCCGCGCGAGCCATTAGTTTTTCTTCGTGTAGAAGAGCTCTCTGTGTTTGTGGCCCATGGGTGTGAGAGCACGAGAGTGCAAGAATCGTGAGGATGGTGGGGGGCAGGGGGTGGTGCCTAGGGCTCCTATCGCCGCCCCCTTTGGCTGTTGTTGCTGGATGTGGCTGCGGATGGAAAACTGTGTGCCCCTGCGCTCGCCCATTTGAAAAGTGCATCGAGTGCAACGAGTGCAGCGAGTGCATCTCCCGACGTTCAGCCATCTGCCAGCCGAAGAGCAACAGAAATAAAAAAAAATATAAAAAAACAAGAAAAACGAAGCCTAGTTCGACGAGCCTAGATCCGAGTGCTTGGGAAAACTCTTTCGTGTTTGCTGTTTGCTTTTCTGTTAGACGATCCCTCCTGCGCCTCCCCTCGAATGCAGCGCCCGACCTGCGGTTGCAAGTGGCAAACCACCTGTGTGTGTGCAACTCCAACTGGTTGCATCTATTCGGGCGCCTAGGAAAAATCCTGTGCATAGTTTTTCCCCAAAACGGAAAACTCCACCGCACATAGAAGTCGACACGCTGCCCCGCAATAGAATAGCCCCTGCGCTTCGAAACTCGGGATTAAACTCATATTTCGCTGGCGTTGCACCAATGAAAAATGGTTGAGAGAAAAAGTTTGAAAAAAAACGTTGTATGATTTTTCTTCGTCAATATTTTGTAACAGAGGCGCAGCACCGATGCAGAAGCGGCTCCTCTGCTCGAAATGAAATGCTTGTGTAACGAAATAAAAATGCACGGGCCGAGAGCGAGTGAGAGAGGGCTAGAGGGAGGCTCCCCATCGCCGTCTCCCTCTCGCACTGCAGTCAATGCCCCAGTTCTGAGTTGGTGTGCGTGTGCGTTGTTGCTTTTTTCAATGCGGCCGAGCGAGGCGGCGAACGAAGGAAAGAGCAATGCAAAAAAGCAATGCAGTTGACGACTGCCTTGGCACAGTGGTATCAAATGAGAACGAAAACTTGGTGAATGGATATAAAAATCATATCATATTACTTGCTTGTCGAAGTACGCACGAAGTACCTAAATTAAATTGAAGTTATTAAAAGATCCCAATATTTACCATGCATTGTGCACTAGTTTACACATGACCGTCCCACTGTGCGAGTGCAAGGCCCCTCTCTCGCCTCTCTCACTGCACGTGTAACTGCAGTTGAGCGTGACAGAGACGGCGATAAAGGCAGGGAAGGCGGCGGGAGGGGGTTGGTGCACAGCAATTGTGAATGCAAGTGCAAGTGCAGCGGAATCGGCTGCGGATCGAAACTGCCCACCAACTGAGTGCAGGCTGCGAACTGTGCCCCCACTCGCCAAAACACGAAAACAGCCCAGAAGACGAAGGCGCACTCAGCGGCGTGCAGAAAAGCAGAGAAGCATTCATCGCTGCACGCGTATTGGTGCACATTGAGTGGTGTGCGTTGCACTAACATGTATCGCGGAGATTCGTGCAAAAATCTCATCGCATGTCGGTGGGCGCACCTGCTCCGCCCCCCTTTTTCTCGTATCTCTCTCGCTCTCTCTCTCTCGCTCGCTCGCGTCGACTGTGATTTTTTTTCGCTTGGCAAGTGCATCGCTTGGCTGCGAAATCTGGGCTCCTTTTCCCAATGTAACACAACCATGCACCATGCGAGCGAAGATTGCCCCTAGGGTCCATTACGACACATATGTACGCTGCTGATTTTACAGGATCTCGTAAGGGGGCCGCCGCCATACGAGAGGAGGAAAAATACAGCAGCCGTCGAAGGAGTAAGCCTGGGACCCCACATTACAACTCCACCTTCTCCTGCGAGCCACGTAAATTCCCCTTGCAAATGCGCGCTCCTGCTTCACTTTTGTTGCTTTTCCCATCTTCGGCCGAGAGCTGCGTGCACAAAAGTAACAAAATGTACTGAATGCCAACAGGCTCTCAGTTTTGGGGAGAGCGACGATTTTACATTACGCTGTTCTCAGTACGGTACACGCGCTCATTGCGCGACGCCCCCCTCTCTTGCTCCATACTTCGCCTGCTTTGCTGGCTGCGCGAGTGTGTGTGTGTGTGTGTGTGTGTGTGTGTGTGCGGCATACTTGCGCTCTGGTTCTACCCGCCCCCCACCCTTTCGAACACGGAGTACAATGACTCCACACCACTCCCCCCTCGCTTGCCCAGCGTTTTTTCGCCTTTGGCGCGGTCTTTGCTCTCGTTTGCTTTATCACTCTTGCTTTTGTTGCCCCTCTGTTTTGCTGATGCGCTTTTGTGTCTGTGTGTGCGAGAGCGGGCAAATAACTGCAATGTAAGTGCAGTTCTCTCTTCTCAGTTGCAAAGAGATGCATACTGATAAGTTGGGGAAATCCAAAGTGGGAATGGGAAATATTCAACATAATAATGATTTATAAAGTATATTAACTGATAATACCCAAAATGTTGGTCGTAATTGGCGTCTTCTGTTAACTGTGTGCCATAATTGTAAGTAGTGCATAAATCTGAAGTAGTGCCTATTACGGGGTTACGGTTTAAGGTTATAGTAAGTTGGTCTAAGGTCATAAGCTTACCTCGCTATCAAGCTCAATGCCAACATGTCAACGGTTCCAAACCTGTAGATTTCTGTTCCAGGTGGCCGTTCTGTTGAAATGCCATTTAAATCAGGTCTATATATCTTTTCGGTTGAATCTTTTTTGGCTTATCTAAGGTAAGCAATAAAATTTTATTCACAATATAAAGCTTTAAAATTACTTATCTCAAGAATTTTCATTGTGGTCTTGAGAGAAGAGCGACATATTTTCTATATCGCATAGTCTTACTTTAAATAGATTTTTAGAGCTTTTTTTTTATTCAAAATCGAAAGTGCTTCATAAATAATGCCAGCGGAATATGTGGCAAATATATAATTTAGTTTTTATTTATTGAGCACAAACTATGTTAAGGCGTGTATTTATTAGATTCATAAACAATCTAAAATGTAATTTTAGGTGATAGTGGAAATAACGTTGCCCGCATTTATATCGGGATTGCGTTGTACAAAACATTCTTTTGGAAGGAATCTGAAATTAAGAGATTGAACAATTACTTTAATACTTGTCGTAATAGCTGTCCTAACTTGTATGTATTACCTGTGGATCACTGGAGATATCAAATCCGAATGGAGACTCTTGATATCCGTGGGTTTGGTCACCAGAGATACCAGGGAGCCCACAATGACGACTGTAAGCACTCCGATGGGGTTTATCCAGTGGTAGGAAAGTCGGTAGAGTGGGAACACCTCATCCTCGTCCAGTCCAACATTTTCGGGAGCAGTCACATTGCCAAGGCAACTTTCGACGGACATATGAAGTCTTTTGGGATGCAGTTGTCCGGATGCAGCCGCAATCTGTGACCCGAAACTTATCCAGCCGGTCAAGACAAAGCCCGCGATTCCGCCCACAAAGGTGCCCACTGTATTTGCCCAGGGAACCAGCATTCCCAGGGTAAATATTCCGAAAGTGGAACTAGTTGCGATGGACACCAGGGACATGCAGATGCTCAGGATGCCATTCACCTTCTCCAGCAGAATGACCGAACCAAATATCAAAACGGCTATGATTACGATGCTGGACTTAACGATAATCGCGGATGTCTTTTCGCTCGGCTGCCTCTTGAAACAACCTCGAACTATGTCCTGTAGGATGACCAAGGACATGGAGTTGAACCCCACGGAAAGCGAACTCAGGCCAGCTCCAAAAATACCGGCTATGAAAAGCCCGGGCATTCCATAGATGTGACCGACACTCTGCACCACAAACAGGGGCACCAGCTGATCGTTATTCTGCTCAGATCGAAAATAAGATACATAAATGCATGGCTCAACGAATTCAAATACACTTCAAGTGCCCACCATGATATGTCCGGCGGTCAGTGGATCGCAGTCCTTGTACATGTGATAGATGAGCAGTCCCAAAAAGCTGAGAACACAGTAAAAGATGCTCGCTCCAATGACAAAGTAGGCGATGGAGGTCCTGGCCATCCGCAGGCTGGGCAAGGACATATACCGATGTACCATGGTCTGATTGACCGCCGTAAATGAGGTCCAGTAGAACATGCCACCGATCACCACGCTCCACACCGTATTACGCACAAATGGTGAGGGATTGATGTTGCCAAATATGATTCGTCCCCCGACCTCCAGACTTTCGTAGAAGGCATCCAGGTCGGTGATGTAGCAGGTGGCAAGAATGGCCACAACCATTACGGACACAAACATGATTGCCACCTGCCAGATGTCCGTGTGCACCACCGCCTTGAGGCCGCCCTGCAGGTAAGTAACGGGAAATATGTTAAAAACTACTCCGAATTTCGGGGAATATCTTACCAATAGGGTGTATATAACGCACACCACAATGGTCACCAGCTCAATTATGTGAATATTTAGGCCGGAAGCTGTGGTCAACAAAAAGTTCTAGATACATCATGCGAGAGTCGATCGAATAATTCTTACCCTGGTTTAAGGCGAGGGCCGGCACATAGACCACAAAAGGCGTATAAAGTAGCTGAAATTTCGCATTCATTCTTCTGTACGATTTGCAGATGAGTGCAACTTACCATTTCGACGACAAAGAGTATGGATACTATGTTTCGTATGACCGGGTGAAAGCGCATTCCCAAGTACTAGATGTAAATTCGTTAAACATACATAGGCACTATAGGCTGGCTGCCTACCTACCTCATAAGATGAACGCACTTGAAGAGTCGTAAACACGGGCAAGTAGATGTAGGATACAACTAGTCCTTGGATGGCAATGGCTACGAAAACCAGTGAATATTGCGTGCCATAGTTGTAGATCTCGGAAGGAGTTCCCAGTATAGCAACGCCCGAAATGAAACTAAATCGAAGGAATGATATTTGCAGTGGAGCCGATTTTCTCACCTGGCTATCAGGCTCATTGCGACTGGGAAAACCTTCAGATTGCCCGAACCCATCAGATACTCGTTCAACTTCTTCGATCCGAAATTCGGCATGGTTGTTACCGGGGAATCCGAAGACGACGTGTCGGGTTCCACCGTCTTCTTGGTCTTCCTATGGTGCGTTTCAGGATTACAATTTGCTTGCCCTGAAACGCAAGTTTCGCAGTTTTGGGGTACTACTCACTTTATCCAGCCGAAGTACAGTCCTATGGCGATGGATAGTATGGTCACGCCCAGGAAGACCGTGTAGTCAACCGTTCCGAATCTGTAGGTGTCCATGCTGGCTGGTGTCTTCCGGGAAAATGCCATCTATGTTAGGTGTAGTGCCCAATGGAGCTGAGATTGCCGAAACTTGAGTTATCTTAGATATGCTATCTGCGACAAACACCATAGCAGGACTATGGTGTGGTTGTAAACACACTTTCATAGCCGCGAAAAGCATGTTAATGAGCCAAATAAAATGTTTCCAGCTATAGCCGCTTCTAGAGGCCAATAAAAAGAGTAAATCACTGGCAAATATTTGATCTACAAATTCAATTATCGCACACGCAATGGCTTTGTAAATAGTGTTTTAAACAAACGCGTTCTTACTTACCGCTTCCATCGAACGGCTAATTTGATGTGATTTTTGCTTAATAGAGCAGCAGCTTTAAGTGTACCTTTTAGCTGTAGTTCCATAAATAAAATCATTGCGGTCAATAAATTAAAAAACGTCCAAATTTTGGCATTGAAAAAATCCGCAGTCACATAAAATGAACTTAAAAGAAAATATATCGTAAATATTTGCCGGCTGGTGGGCATGGAATGAAAATCAATGACGTATGTATGTTTCCCAATTTTTCAATGGACCAAAACCATGACATCATAAAAACCATATTATATGAATGAGATTCAAGAAAATACATATTTGCATTCGCAAACACTCAGGGCGACGATAATAATAAAATTCGAGAACATTTATTTCAATTCAAATCTTCTGTGTATCCACATTTACATTTGATCTCTTAAAAATATTACTTTAGGCTTGATATGTTTGCGTTCCAATTTTTTGTGTTGTTTCCGAATCCATATTATAATTTGGTGTATGTTAGTTCTTAAATAGGAGAAAAAAAAATTTGTTTTTTACGGCATAGAAACAAAAACTAAACAATCGCATTTTCCAAGAGTTTAGTTTGATATGTCCCTTAGAATATTTTATTAATGGTAGAATTCGTGGAAGTGTTTTTCTAAGATTTTTCATAATAAACCTCAAAAAGCTGATATGTTTGCGACTTTAAGTTTCATTTAAATCACTTCCCAAAAACGCGAGTGTTTTAGAAAGAGGTACTTATAATCTAACAAGTGCTCCATTGATATGTATCGTTTTCGATTTGTGGCTCAACAAGTTGAATGTATTAACTAAATTCGAACTAAGATAACATCGCTAAAAAGCGGTCGTTTCCAGTTTGGGATAAGCCTGGACATCTTAACTACTTATCACAGTTGGAAATGGGTTCTCCTGCCGATCTTTTCACCTGCCGGGCTGCTAAAACTCCCCAGTTTTTGGGGGATTTACAGCACCACAAGCTTCTTTAAAATTGGTGGCGTTCAGCGGACTGAAGTAATCCTCGTGCAGGAAGCGAATGATGTTCTCAATGGGACAGAGATCGGCCTTGTTGCCTCTGGAATCCCTGGTGACCCGCAGGCTTTTGCCTCCCTCGCAAAAGTCGATCTGTTGGGTGACATCCTTTCCATTGTAAACTACCCGGAAGTAGTAATCCGTGTGTGCTTCGCTCCGGTAAACTTCAAATGCTAGTCTGGAGGCATAGGCGATGGTTTGGCCCTGGCTGGTGATGATTCCGAGGGCAGCTGTCAGATACTGCATGGTGCAGTCGTGTCCAGAGTACAGGACAAACTTCGTTCTGTCGCCAGAGATCATCTTTAGCATATAGCTCACTATGTGCCGGATCATTCCATATGATCGCAGCAATCCGGATAGCTTGTAGTACGAGTGACCAGCGGAGCGTTGCGACAGCTCGTCCGCAAAGGACATCAGGGTGTCCACGTGGCTGGATTCGACGCAGCCCTCTTGAGATTCATCCGCCTGCACGGAGGGATTCCCATTTTCCACCTCGGGGGAGTCGGGTTCCGTCTGCGTTTGTGCCTCCTGGGGAGAAGACAACATGAAACCTTCAACATTGGAGGAGCTCTTGAGTAATTACCTGCAACAAGTTGGCAGCTGTTTCATCCTGATCTATATTAATCACATCCACCAGCTCCTGATTGGAGCTCTTTCTGAGGGACTTTGGAGTGGAAACCTGCTTTTTCCTGCGACATGGCAAAGCGGCATCGTGGCATAGAACCGTCAAAAGGGCATCCACCACCTCGAAGGGATTACTAATGCCATTCGGAGTGTGCTGCAGTATGGTGCCTCCGATCCACTGCATCACATCCAGGACATCGCGACGTTTCAAGAGCTGCTTATCTCCCATGGCCTCCAAACGTTTCCGCAGCAGGGCAGATTGAGGACAGCTGCACTCCCCGAAGCAGAAAGCCATGCTGTGCGATTCCCGAACATTCAGGGCCAGCCACTTGTCCGCCGGAAGCAGGGTGAACAACATGGCCAAGGCGGACTGGAAGGTGCGACGATAGCGAGTGGTAAAGACCACCACCTCATCCGAATTCAGAAGCGTGTGCGGCGTCGTTTCCACTGAAGCACGGTTCGGATTCGGTTTGAGCAGGAGACCCAGTGGATGAGCATATACCTGGTGCATGATGTCGCCTACGTGTAGCAGCTGTGAAATTCCCCTGGCGAATGAAAAGTGAGACGTTGAATTAATAGTGGGATTGAAGCCTGTGCATTCACTCACTTGTAGGTGAGCTGACCCAGTGGACAACCACGTTCTGTTGCCGGCAGCAGGGGAAACCCATGGAACGGCCCCACCTTGTTCCAGTACATGTGATTCGATCCCGAAGCGGAGCTACTGGAGTTGTATAAAAAGCTGCGATATCTGAAGGAAAAACACATGAACAATGATTACATACTCGCATTTATGATATACCCACCTGTTGACCAGGCTATCTGAGCCACCACTCACGCCGCAGTTGATGCCAGCACTGCGGACATGCGATATGGGTCCTCGATCCCCGTGCCTGATGACCAGGAGCACTCCCTGAAGCTTCCAACCCTCCAAGATGCCGCCATCATCCAAACGCTGCAGCTGAGCCAACGGAGCACAGCGTTCTCTGTACTTGGCGAACCGCTGGGCAGTGGAAGATGCTGAGCTATCGCCGCCCAAGGAACTGACGGTGCCGGACGAACTGGGTCCAAAAACTGAGCCACCGCCTGGAGTCGACTCAACATTGCCCATGTAGCGATACATTCCTAGAAGGGATTATCAAAGGCTAGGATTACCTTTTTGCTTAGGGAAATAAGAAACTATTTCTCATCTCAAGTGAGTCCTGACCTTAACTAATTGGGCCAATTTAAGAAACGTTTTATAGATTTATATAAACGTTCATAGGTATATTATACGTTTTGCTATAATTGCCATGGATGTCTCTTTGGCCACTCACCCGCTATAAGAAGGAATATCCAGACGCTGAGCAGCACGTAGCAGTAGAAGGCTCTGTGTTGGGTGGCCACTCGCATCAGTTCCTTGAGCAGCCTCATCCTGGCCAGAAAGTCCGGCTCTTAACTGCTGCCCTCTAGCTCCACTGCTGCTCCTCGGCATCAACTCGATGGGCGGCACTCTTAGAGGGTTTCTGTCGATAAGATAGCTCTGTTATATTCCTATCCAGCGTCTAAAATTCCAGGCAATTGCTCCGCTTCACGGGGAATGAGTTTTGAGTGCTAAGGGCAGAAAAAAACCAGATTTAATCGTTTACGTGGAGCACGACTAAGTGGCAGGGCATGCGCACTGGAGGCCACATCGTTATCAGCTGTTGGCACAGAGGTGGTGGACAAAGGGGAGTTTGAAATGCGTAACAGCCCAGCTTATACATATGTATAATAATAATTTCTTTGTTCGCCCATAAGTAAAAGCACTGTGATACTGTGATATAAGCTTAGCATCAAGCTAGAGTGCACTCTTTAATAACAATCATGGTGTTCCCAATACATATGCGGCTTTGGCTCAATGCAAAATAAATATGCGTAAATTATTGGCCGGCTGAAAGGCGGGGCTTCGTTCGCCTTTGCAGCCAGTTTTAAAATATGGAGAATATATAAATGTATACTCTGGCAGATCTTGGATCTTGGTGGTTCTGAGTTATGGGATTAGTTCCAGCCTACTGTTGTGCCGCAGTCAGGGCCAAGACGGTGAAGCGCACCTCGTTGGGATCGCGAGCCATGAACTCCTTGCACACTTTGGCCGCATCCTTTACAAAAGTCTCCTCCGAAGTCGATCCGTGCTTGATCGGGAAGGACTTGCGCCCATCCAGCTCGTACAGAGTACCCTCCTTGTTCACCAGAGCGATGAAATGGTGGATCACCGTCTCGTGATCGGCGGCATTGGTCTGGCCCTCTTGAGCCAAAGCCTGATGATCGGCGGTGAACTCCTTGTCGCTCTCCAGGGCCTGTCCGCGTTCCTCCGGGGACAAGGAAGCTGTCTTCTCCAGGAAGTTCTTCAGTACTCCGCTGTCGATGTCAACTCTGGAGAAAGAAAAATTTTAAAGAAAAACAGCTATTCAATTAGGACTAATCTCATATAGGAAATGGTTGAAGGACCCACTCTTTGTTGTTGGCCACGCTGTGGATCAAGGCGACGGTGCCACAGGCATTATGGGTGAACTGGCGCATGTAGAAGAGATCGTCGGGATGCTGCTCCTGCACCTCCTTCACCCGTTCGTGCTCCTCGGCGCGGTGCTTCTCATACTGAAAATGGAACCTGGTTAGCCAGGGTAATCAGATGAGAAGGGGAGTTGAAGATAAACTCACGGATTCGCTGCACGGGAAGAGCAAAATGAACGCCTTCACGGGACGCGGAATCCACTCCAAGGTGTCCTCTTCCAATCCGATGACGTCAGTTACCGACCAGGCTGGCGACACGCCCAATTTATGTATGTACTTGGTCAAAACCTTTAAAAGCGGGAATGGGAAAATTTAATGGCGTCTTTCTACTTTATTACCCAAAGGAAGCCGACATTTTGGGACAAAGAAACCATGAATTTGTAAAAACTAGAACTGCTTTAAACAAAGCCTTCGGTGGTAAAGTCGTTACCTCGGGATTAGATTCAAGTGGTGTCCAGGTCAACATATTTTCAAATTTTTGGATTTAGCTGTGTTCTGATTGAATATTCAAAGGAAAATGAAGGATTTCTACAGACAATTACCGGCACTTTTGTCGAGCTTTACTTTTTTCTGAATGTGGTGTGTGAACATTGATTTGGTTAAAATATATCGATGACAAGCTTTTTAATTTAGTGTGTTTACAGATGCGCTTTGCATTTAAGCGAAGGAGAACACCAAACGAGTCCTTACTCTGTACCATACTATAAATTTAAAATGTTGAACCTTGCATATAAAAATGTATTCTTCAATAAGTGCCAATTTGTATAATAGTCACATATCGATATTAGGGATATGAGTGTTGATAAACGCTCAAACTAAACTAACATATGTGCCGCCAGAAGAAGTAGTGCATACACTGGCTGAAGTAAACAACATTGTTTACAAAATGACCAAAGCTAATAAAACGCCGCAAAAAGCCAGTGAACCCAATACAAATGCGTCCCTGACACCAGTTCGATGTAAGTTATCTCCAAGAACAAAAATAGCTTATTCCTTATATAAATCGTACGCAGATTTGGACAGCCAGCGTCTGCAGTCGCCCACAAGTCACGACGCGAATTTGGCCAACTGCAAAACGAGGTTGGAAACCGTAGTCAAACAACTTCAGGATAACTACGCCAAATGGCATCTGGCCCAACAGCGGGGCACCTCCATTTGCTATACTATCGAGGCGAAGAAGACCAAGTGTTTGGAGAAAAGCCAGGATGAAGCCAGCTCTACTTACCCGGATGATCTACTTCTGCCCTGTAACAAGTTGGCCATTATAGCCTCTATTTTCGGGGATATCGCAAATAATACAAAAGAGATATTGAGACAATTGAGGGCTCTATGTAAATTACCAGGATCTGCAGCGGAGACGATATTCTACAGGTCCTGGAAGTTGCCACAATTCGTGGTTTTCGCAAAGGAGCTGTCCGAAAGATATGAAGAGGAGGCACTGGTCAAAAGGGAAGTTGCCGGTAGGAAATACTTATCTCTCTATTCTAAGAAACAGAGCTCGGTTTCTAAATAGCGTTCACTATCTTAAATCTTAAATCTGTTACTGTTTTTTATAGAAAACATTGCGCATTCTACCGAAAGAAGCCAGCTCATCGCATACACAACTTTATGGGAATTTCCCGAGCACGTGGATTCCTATGTGCATCTGGGATTTGTTCTCCTTGCCGAAGAAGTCAGTTTAAGGCAATAAATTAAAGAACTGGTAATACACTTTGTTTCTATCAAATGTTCATGTTGGGCAGTAAAACTTCAATACAGCTTGAAATTATGCTAAAGCTTAACCAAGGAATACGTGAATGCCTATTAGAAAAGGGGAATGCAACTATTAAATGCTTCGTTGTGCTCCAGTCGGGGAGCGCTGCGGAACTTGGTCCACCACCAGAACCAGGCGCACGAAAATCCCACAGCTAGAGTGGTGTAGTATAAAATAGTGGCCAGGCTCCACTTCTTCTGTAAATAAAATTGTTATAAAATGAAAGTAAATAAAAAAACCTGAATGCGTGCAATATTCACCTTCTTGTGGTTCTCGTTAGCCTGCATTTTCTTGTGGCTAGTTGTGTTTTTGGCATTGGCTTCGATTTTTCTGAGATCCTGGGCTATCTCCTCGGTGATCTGCTTTACGCTCTTCAGAGTTTCCTGGGCAAAGCAGCTGGCATATCGTTTGTCGCCCACCACGACGTCCTCGGGAGTGGAGACCTGCAGCTTGTAGTTGGTGACCGCCAAGGAGGCGCGCAGGGACATGAAGTGGTTGCCAGCATTGCCCAGGATCTGATTGTTATAGGTTTCGGCCTCTGGATGGTTGCAAGTGTATTTGTAACTGGGATTCTGGTTCGGCATCTTTCCGAACATCTCTAAGAGCTGTTGCCGATACTTTTCAGAGTTGAACCCTAAGAATTTTAAATCCTCGTCGGTGAGGGATGCCAAATCCCGGTAGCTTATGTTCTCGGCAATGAGTTTGTCCACACAGGTACTGGCGTTGTCCGTTTCCACGCTGGTGGAGGACAGCAGGCCGTTGAGAATCTCCCTCTCCCGACGCGTGTCCTTGTGATCCTTCGGGCGAATCCACGGACGCCGCTCGTTGCCCAGGAAAGCTACATCCAACTCCTGCTGCTGGGTGTGCGTGTGGAAGTCCTTTGTGGCCTCGAACTGGATGGGCGGCGGCATCTTGGCCATCGCCACCAAAGGCACATCGCCCGCGGACATGGTGTGCGTCTTTGTTGCCTTAGAATCTGTCAATAATGGCAACTAAATAAGCATTTAAATGCAATTGCGCTATGATTAGATTCGCTTTGTCAAGAATCAGACGTTTTCGAACACTGCAAGTAGGGGTGGTCAAGATCCTTAACAGATCATGTTAACAGTAACAGAAATGTTAAGGATTCTGCAAACCTTTAAAGCCAGTTGAATATTAATAATTTTGTAATTTTAGCCTCTTTTCCCATTTTGCAGCCTTGTATGACACAAATGTTCTTCAACGGAATGACCGTACCTTAATAATTGATGCCAATTAAATGCTTAACATTTATATTTAAAAAGTATAACAAATTGATAAATTGCTGACAATAAATCTAACTATCCTATTTGTCTGCCGATGAACTGTAGATTGGGGCACTGGTAGTGGACGCCTCCTGCAACTTCTTCATAAACAAAGCCTTTCGCTGATCATCTTCACTCAGTTTGGTACTTGAAACTGAGGCTTTGATGCGCTCTATTTTCTCGACGTTCGGCTCAGTTAGCAGCATTAAGCCGTAGCCCATTCCTCCGAAGCCAATTAACCACAAAATGGACTTAAAATAGCGATTACTAAGCATTTTGACAGCGGTATCTTCTAGTCGCTTTTCTTTAAATGTTTCCAATAATTCGCATCCGCCTGTCGCACTGTGCTGTCTCCCACGATTTCACCGATTTTATAGTAATAGTCCAAGACGAAGGGATAGTTCTCGTGAATGTGCTGGCGAAACTCTAAGAGCGAATTGTTATTAACAATCAAAATAATTATATAAATATCCTCGCACCTCGATTTGTGTTCATGCGATAATAAACACCGTAGCTGGCTGCAAAGCAAACTGCCTCGAGGACAAACAGTGTTTTGGCACTTCCTTTGATGAATTTCCAAATGGCAGGTTTTGGTGTTTTCGGCAGCATTTTAATTGGGAGTTTTAAATATTAAACACGTTTCCTTTCTAAGAAAAAAAAAGAAAAACAAAATCACCTACCAGCTTATCGATAAAATTAACTATCGAAATGGGCCAGTGTTGGCTAGCATACGGCAACAGCTGTTCGACCGGCTAGTGTGCGTGTGCTTCTTCTTCTTACTACGTAGTGCAGTGTTTATCTCACGTTTTTGTTTTTGCAAACTGATAACGCGACGCAATTTAGTCTGTAGTGAAAATTGGGTTTTCATATCGATGGAAAATCGGCCACGATGAGCGGCAATACACACGGACTCAGCTGGTTTCCACAATTTCCCAACAAATTCGTATCCTGGGGCCAGGAAATCCATTTGTACGAGGTGCGCCGCAAAGATGACCACAGCCAGAAAAGTGAGGTTTTCCCCAATAGATTACTCGGCTTTATTTAACCGCCTCTTTGCAGGTCGTCTGCCTTATATATCCGTGAACTACCTCGCCAACGAGTCGCGCTATCAATATGCCCGCTGCGTGGCCGCCTCCTATCACAGTGACCAGCCCATAATTGCAGTGGGTCTGGCGGATGGCAAAGTCGGGATTTGCAACTTCAGGGACACCTACGACAGCAGCTGGGAGTACAGTGGGTGGCCGACAACGATGTTTCTTAGCTGCATTTCATGGTTGTTCTTATCTCGTAGCTCCTCGCCAGCAGCGCATGTGCACCTGCCTCGCCTGGAACCAGCTGGATGCCAATATCCTGGCCATTGGACACGATCGCCATCGGAATGACACCTGCATCACCATCTGGGACATCGAGCGTGGTGTTCCCAAGGAAACGGCAAACTTCTTCGGCGTCGGCGAGTCGGCCAACTCCATATGCTGGGATCGCAATCATCGCACGGTCATTGCGGGGATGAGCCAGAAGATGATCAAGCTGTTCGATCTCAGGCGTGAGTACACATCTACTGCATACGTATTAAGTGCATCAGCTTTCCATCACTTATTGCCCCATTGCTGATGATATCTTGAAATCCCTTTCGCAGAGAGCAACGCCACCTGCCAAAGCATTCAAACAAAGACAGTGCAGGGACTTTCAGTTTCCCCCAATGGCAACTATCTGTGCAGCTATGTGGACTCGGTGATCACTCTGTGGGATCCGCGGAATATCAAGAGCCCTCTCAGGCAGATTCAGTCCTCCAAGAACCATTTGCAGATCGCTTGGTGTCCCACCAGGACAAGCCTGCTCTCCTCGCTGCAACGGGATTCCTCCTACATCACTCTCTACGACATCCGGAGTGTGGACACAGAAAATTCCGGAGAGATCTACCACGTAAAACGGCAGATTAGTCCCTTTCCGGCTAAATATCAGCACAGTGGAAAGTTTACGTTTGTTAATTGTCTGTCGTGGCATTCGAGAGATTTCGAGAGAGCTCTGCTCTTGGCAGATGCGTTGAACATCCTGGATTTTCGATTGCCAGCCACCTTGCACACGGCGCACAGCAATCGCCGGAAATTGCCACTTCTTATGCAGCGTCCGCTCTACCCACCCGCCTCACCGACTTCCTCTGCAGTCACGCCCACTCAGCAGCAGCCCACGACCAGCTGCAGCACGAATAGCGCGAGTTCCCTGGACTTCAGCAGTCCTGGTGGTTCGCCCTTCAATGTGGACCTGCTGGAACCGGAACTCTTTGAACTGGATCTGGTGGACGAGACGCGTCAGCGCGCTCTGGAAGATTACGGCATTAAGCCCGATAACAAGCGATTTGGAGAACTCCATTTGACGCCGTATCTGCGGAATGTGTGGGCCACCTTAAACAATGTCTACAGCGAGGATCGATTGACGGGCTTAAAGGCCACTTTGGGCATCAATTTGGGACACACCTCGGAGGCCTTGATGGCCAGCTCCCGCATCGAATCTCAGGTGCTCCAGTGGCCAGAGGGCATTAACAACTCCAACAAACTCATATGCTACAGGTAAGTTTATTTTAATTGTTCTCTGTGTGTGATAAACGTGTGATAAACCCAATCTTTATTTAGGAGTGAGCAGCGAGATATGGCCCTCCAACTTTGCGGCTGGGCCTTTGAGCAGGAGCTGGATCGCTTTATAGACCAGTTATATGCCAACAAGGAGTACAGCCGGGCAGCCATGATCTGCGTGTTCCACTTGCAAATTTTCCATGCCTGCAACATTCTGTCGTCGGCGGCGGACAACATGAGGGATCCCAGCATGTACAGGATCACCGTCATCGCGTTGTCCAGTTTCAATGCAGATCGGTGTAGTTCCACGTGGCGGAATCAGCGATCTAGCGCCAACATGCAGATACACGATCCACACTTAAGAGCTGTCTTCTCCTTTCTAACCATGGAGAAGGATAATTTTGATGCAGTGCTTAAAGAGGAAGGCGTTTCCTTATCAGACCGCATGGCCTTCGCCTGCAAATATTTGTCGGAGACCAAGCTGGCTGACTATGTGACGCAGCAAATCCAGGCGGCCATAGATCACGGCGATCTAAATGGCTTGTTGCTCACTGGAGAGTCGCTGGACGGAATCAATATACTGCAGTCTTACATGGACACCAGCTTCGATGTGCAGGTGAGCTTGCGCTAACAGAAGATGTGTAGTAAAGTTGTATATAAATGGATCCGTTCCCTAGACGGTAGCCCTGGTGGCCATCAACTACTTCCGGCAAGAGCACTTTGCGGACAAGCGCATCCAGTACTGGATCGCCAGCTACTTGGATCACCTCAATAGCTGGGGTATGTGGGAGAAGCGGGCCGAGCTGGACATCAAGATCGAGAGCATACGCCCTTCCTCCCGCAGATCCCGCACGGTATTCCTGTCGTGCAACTTTTGCGGAAAGTCTGTGTCCAATGCCTTGCTGGACGAGCCGCGCCCACGGAGCACCACCACTAGCACCAATCGGCTCTCCTCCTGCCCCAGCTGCCGAAAGCCCCTGCCCCGCTGCTCCCTCTGCCTGATGCACATGGGCACCATGGTGAACATGAACAATGGGGAGACCCCGAGCACCACGCCCGACGTACCCGGCTGGCAGACCAAGCCCTTCTCGAAGTGGTTCTCCTGGTGCCAGACCTGTCGCCACGGTGGACACACCGAGCACATCATGCAGTGGTTCAAGTGAGTACCAAGTCTCTTGACTTGCAATCCGTAATTGATTTGTGACCAATGTACGCATTTCTTTCTCAGGCAAAATTCAGAGTGCCCCGTGTCGTCGTGCAACTGCCGCTGCTTCGACATGGACGGCACCAAGCCGAACACGTTGAGAGACATTTCCTAGCTGTCCGGAGCACCTATCCACAGCCCTTACTCGCCCAGGCCATATGCATATGCATTAAGTTGTTGATTTGTTCCCAACGCGCGCGCCTTAAACAAACTCAGAAGTGTTCATTGTACTTAGACAAGGGATGTGCCCGTAGCATTAGTGTTTATGACCTATCAGCTTTTAGCTGCTCAAATGCATTTTATACTTACATTCAAATAAAGGACTATAGATATTTTGCCGCTTTGCGTTTGAAAGTGGAAAGCGTTATATCTGTGCGTTTTGCAACACTTTCAGGCACTATTTATAAGCATTCCTGTTAGAACTGATAACGGTCACACCGCTTCGCACGTTTTTATGCGGCGTTATTATTTTTTGTTGCTTTCTGACGTAAATCTGTAGTTGTTAAAGCCCCGAAAATCGTGCTTCCACTCGTAAGGCTTAAGTGAATGGTTAATAATATTATGTGATAACACCAAAACAAACAAATCAAGATATAGTGAGTGGAAGAACCCAAAAGACAGCGCCGATACACAGGATACATATATAAAGACGGTAAGTTGGGGGTGGGGGCTCAAATTCTTATAGCATGTGAGTGGACGGAATTTGTTTTTACTGGTACTTAAGATTAAATATTTGGCTACGATAGCTATAAAAATAGAGATAGTTCGGTTACCTGACCTTTTCAACTCGTTCCGTGTCTACACCTGGCACTTTTGTCTAATCTGAGTGCCCGAGAACGGGTTTTCCCAATAAGAAGTCCGAAGTTTAAAGCCTGCAGCGCATCAAAACCGAAACCGAACCACAAAACCGAAATGCAAATATGTATGTGTAGTCAAGCCGCAGCTAACAGTTTATTTATATTTTGATGCGAAGATCAAAGAAGGTCTCTCCAAATAGCTTGTGGCGGATTATTAAATACCTTTGGTGACGTAGTGTTTTCTGGTTGAACTGGCTTTATTTAGAAATCGAGACAATAAATTCGTGTGCGAAAATGTTTTGAAACTTTGCCAACAAAACTCGACGCATCTCAGGCATTTTCACCGCGTGACCCATTGAAAATCGAAAACGCAGCGTTTTTTGAATGGGTTTCGCCGGAGGAAATAGAGCGTCCGAAAACCCATTAAACAATAAGGTAAACATTTTAGAATATCTAGACTTGGAGCTGGCTTTAATGGTTGATGCTTCAGCTGCTGGTTTCCATTCAAAAATCGGTTATAAATCAAGTGGGGAACCCAAACACAACTTAAACGAAACGAACGGTTCATTATGTCACTCCACTAAATTTAGCACTCTGCGCACTACTCTCTCCGCGCTCTTTACACAGAGAAAAATATAACTTTATATAAAATATAAATTATAGTATTTCAAGGTACATAAATTCAGAAAATTTGCTGATATCGCAACATATTTTTATTTTTGTAATTGTTGGTAATATTAATCGAATGCTTAAACGACATGGATATTTTCAGAATGCACTAAGCATTTACATTCAAGTGTCGCTGCTAGTGCCACGGCTTTTCTCTCGGTGTGTGACCCCCTAATTCCCTTATTTTTCATCAGACATATGGCCGCTGCTTAATTTACTCGTTGTTTGCTTTGCATTATTTGTCTATGTGCCAGTACCGCTGTTAATTACCAGTTCCTACAACTCACAATTCGCTATTTGCCAATCAACCGGCAAAGTAAACAACAGAGAGAGAGAGAGAAAGAGATAGAGAGAGAGAGAGAGAGAGAAGAGAGAGCATTGATTGCAATCGCGAAACAGCTGACCGTCTGAATGCAAAAGTTTTCCTCAGTCATGCCGGAGATGTAGAGGCGAAATCAAGTTTCGCCCGCGAGTATTTAGCATTTTTATTTTCTAGCCCCATAATAATTTTTACGACTTTTCGAACGAAAAACGAGAAATGAAAATGCAAAACCCGAACAGCGAGTGGCCCTCAAATAAAACGCTTCATTGAGTTTAAGTGCTTTTTATCTAAGGAAGCTCCAGCCTATTAAATTAACTTAAAACAAACATTGACAGGAATTCACGATCAAGGTTAGTGGATAAAAAGTACTATATTGTGTGTTTGTTGCTTGTTTACATATGGCCAAAAATAATTGGGACTCGTTTTTATCAGTTCGAGATAAAGGTTGTTTTGGAGGTTTTGGCGGAAGTGCATTCGTGCTTGGAGCCCAAAGGTTAAACCGGTATGATACGATAACGCCGATGAGCGCATAAACCCGTTTTACTTGTCCAAGAACCAGTGCAAAGCTCGGAATATTGTGATTTATTGAGGCTCAACAAGTGGAATATGAGATACACATATGCAAATGTTGTGTGCGAGGAATATCCGAAAACTTTTTATCTTCAATGTAAAGGAATATTAAAAATGCATTTTTAAGCTAAATTTTATTTAAAGCAAATCTTGAATTTCCTTTCAAAGCACAAAAGTATTTGTTCGTTTCGTCTGGAAATTGTTTGATTCCTCAATCGGCACAAAATTTCGCAGTTTTAATGGCGAAAATCCGCCTGACAATGCATTAAATCGCTGTAAGTGGCTGAATTATGTGGCCTAGTGCATTCAAATAACGTCACTTGTCTATTTATTCCGTGCACTGTTTACCTAAACAATTTCAATTATGAAGTCATTCGAGAATTGTGTGCCAAATCTTGTTTGCTTGCGGCCAGAATTGGTTGTCTTTGGCTATTTGTCAAAACTGATATCCAGTGGGTGATAGGATTACATAAGAAAAGGGGGAGTGTACATCGATACTACGAACCCATAGACCTTTATTGATTCCATAAGACGACATTAATGCTCGTACCAGTCGACTTGGGACATCAGATGGCCTTGAACTTGTTCTATTTTTGTGCTCTTAAGCACACGCAACAATATTAACATATAAAAGAAACCTTGAAAGTCTTTTATATATTTTCAATTTGTTTCCGTGGGATTTGGTTGCTTGTACTGTTAATATGCAATGTTGTAACCAAAGAGTAACCATTTGAATTATGTTATTTCAGTTTTCAAAAATAAGGAGAGGCAGACTTGAAAAGACTGCCCCAATCACCCAGTTCTACCCACATCCCCCCACAACAACTTCGCCAGCATGTTGCGTAACACGCCTCTCGGGGCCACGCCCACCTACAAACTACTCCTGGGCTTTGGACTCTGCTCCCTTGGAGGAGCCATGCTATATGCCTACTTCAAGACTCGAAACGACGAGGAGGAAGCGGACGCAAGTGGCCAACGGCAGGCACCCGGGATTAGAGGACAGTCGAATGAACAGAAGCCCCAGAAGGAAGTGTGCCTCAAAATCGTGGTGGACAACGAGCATGTGCCCCTGATAATGGGACGCGGTGGATCCAATATCAAGCTGATTGAAGAAAAGACCTTGGCCAAGATAAGATTACGGTAATTGGATTTGAAAATAATCGACCCAGGAATTAAACCTGACTAACAAGAATCGTGTTTTTCCTCTAGGGACAAAGACAGTGGTCACAAATTCTGCGACATAAACGGCGTTCCTGATGCGGTCAAGGCAGCTCGTGTCCTGCTGATCAAGGAGATTGAACGTGCGCCCGTAGTGAAAGTGGAACTACAGGTGCCGCAGAGACTGGCCAGCAAACTAAATGGACGCGGTGGCGAGCTCCTCCAGGAGATCCGGAGCAGTTCGCTGGCCAAACTGAATATCGATTTGAATGGGCGGAATGGGAAGGCCAAGATTACGATTATCGGCAATCAAAAGCAAGTGAACATAGCGCGAAAAATGCTCGATGATCAGATAGAGGAGGATGAGGAACTCGTGCGATCCATGGAGGAGGTGGAACAGCGTCGCGAACCCCGTCGATCTCCCACCAACAGCATTGCGTCCTCCAGCATGTACTCCTCCCAGACATCCCTTAGCTCTCACACACAGCCCAGGGATAAGCTAATGGCCTCCAAGGGCGAGGGCAAGCCAATGGAGGTTTACGTGTCCGCCGTGGCATCGCCTACTAAATTCTGGGTGCAGCTTATCGGACCGCAGTCCAAGAAGCTCGATAGCATGGTCCACGAGATGACCAGCTATTATAGTAGTGCGGAAAACAGAGCCAAGCACGTGCTCACTGCTCCCTATGTGGGTCAGATTGTGGCAGCTGTCTTCAAGTTCGACGAGAAGTGGTATCGCGCCGAAATCGTGGACATTATGCCCAATCAGTACAATCCAAAGGAGCAGGTGATTGATCTCTACTTTGTGGATTATGGCGATAGCGAATATATTTCGCCAGCTGATATTTGCGAGCTGCGCACTGATTTCCTCACGCTCAGGTAAGAAGTTCCGCTAATTGAATGAGCAGTATTTTATACTTCACTCTTTTAGGTTTCAAGCTGTTGAATGCTTCTTGGCCAATGTAAAGTCTACCATCCAGACTGAGCCTATTACCTGGCCAAAGTCCTCAATCGCGAAATTCGAAGAGCTGACAGAGGGTATGATTTCAGCAACAACAGCTGCTAGATATTTTTATGATTAAACACCGACCATTTTTAGTGGCACACTGGAGAAAGCTGATTGCTCGAGTGGTGACCTACAAGGAGCGTCCTCAGGCAACAACCGCTGTAAACTCCGCCGCCAAGGAGGGAACCCCGCTGCCCGGAGTGGAACTTTTCGATCCAGCCGATAACTCTGAACTGAATATTGGCGATCTGATGATCACCCAGGGCTTTGCCCTGCCCCTGGACGATTCGTATCCAGTGCGGTCACGCTCCTCGACGCCCTCAAGTAACAGTGATTCCACCATTGAGGAGTTGTGCGTCAGCAATCCAGTGACTCCGCTCACGCCTCACTCACCCATGTCGATGTCCATTGATGTAGAGAGCATTACGCAGGCGGAGGACGAACATCTCGCCCAGCAGCTGCAGCATTTGCAGCACAAACTAAACGCTAACGACATTAAATCCATTAATCCGGTTAAATTAACGGCTACAGACCTCGAAAACGGGAATAACAACAATGCCAGAACCACAAATGGTGGTAGCGCGCATTAGGAATCCACATTGTTACTAGTTATCCTCGCCTAATTGTTTATAAGATGAAGGCTGGATGGGCAGCTCACTACTTGACGTGTACATAAAAGTATAGCTTTTAAGGAACTTATTATATAGGTACGAAAGAAATGTGTTTAATTTATCGCCGTGACTGATCAACATATCCTAGATCCTAAAAGCTGACGATGGAACGGCACAGATCCTTAATTGTTTATAGCAACCTTTGCCATGTTACTTATTGTTAGCAAGAACAAGAAAAACATTTGTACATCAACAAAAAATACACAAGAGATCACAAATTTATCAAAAGAAATGCATTTTATACGAAGATCAAACTTAAGTCTATTTTGGTGGCCTATTTCAGCCTTTTATATTTCGGAAGTGTTTCAAGATTCTTTGAAAATAAGGTTTTCTAGATAAATTGCTAAAATACTCGTTGAAGAATAATTAAAAATTGAATATAGAAAATTGCATTTAAATGGTTCCGAAGCTCTAAAGAACTGTTTACTACTGATAATAGTAAAACGGACACAATATTGCAAGTCGTCTAAAATATAATCAAAATATCCCCAAACCGGGTGGTAGAATTACAGTCTTGTTTGGGGTATTTACCCCCTGCTTAGATTAGGATGTCGTTGGTGGTATTTATAGCTATGGGAGGCAGGTATATGGCGCGGATTTGACTGCGCAGGCGTACGATTTCCATGTCGTCCCTTTCCATTTCCCTGATGAGCTGGGAGAACTGGACCAATCCCTCGCGGTTTCCTGGAAAACCATGACCCTTGATGACCTCCAGCTGGAGTTGCATCACCAAGGGAAACACCTACATAACAGTAAATTGTTTAATTATGTAGTTATTTGTTTTGATTTGTTTGGTATTTACGTGCTGCATCATGAGAATCATCTCTTTTCCAGCGGAAGCCTTTGCCTCTGAGAGTTTTTTGGAGTTTTCCGGCTGATTGACACAGCGTATAATGTCCATAAGAATTTGCTTGGCAGTCTCACTGTTGAAGTTGGTCAAATAGGACATTATACACGATTAAACGGCAGTGTATGTGAAGTATTTTAGCAATATTCAACCAATTAAAGTGCAGGTTTTGTTTTGTGTTTTTGTTAGGGATGGGTCATGCAGCGATAACAGCTATCGGCCAAGCTATCGGTTCGGATTCAAACAGTATCAAATTATTAAGATAAAAACTGCAATAAAAAAATTCGCAACAATTTTATGTTCTTAATTAAACAAAAATGTATTATTTATTTAACTTTGATGTCGTTTAGTTCTTAGTCTTCTATTGATATCTGCAACAGTATCGGTTGTTTATTTCAAGGCATACCCCAAAACTGCTGTAACCATATTTTGGACAAAAACTGTATGATTAAATATATTAAACTCATCAAATTAAAAAAAAAATTAACAATTATACAATTAATTTTGTTCTAATTGCTCTAGAAACGAAACGCAACGTTGTCCAACACTAAGGGTCTGGAAAATTGCCAGTGCTGGAAAGTGCGGAAAGCATGTCACGTCGGAACGTCGACAAAAGACACAAATAATAGGAAAAAGCTTATTTCGCGCAGGCACTCGCATATCCCCAGTAAATGCAAGGCCAATGCAAATGCACATTTAGTACGGGCCACCAAACAGTGTATCAAATCGTGGAGTTCCCAACTCAAAAACGGCGAGCAAAGCAGCAACAACGAAACGCAGTTTAGGGCCTGCATTTTTGCGATAGTGTGAAAAGTGCGTGTGTGCAAAAGAATACAAAATAAAGGGGGCGCAAAAGAGGCAGTGAGAACAACAACACACAAAAACAGAAGACAAGTTACACAGAGAAAAACGCAAACACCCGCACTTACACAAACACCCACACACACTTGTGAAACTCCCAACGTCGAGTCAGCAAATTGTGCCACACACACAAAACGAGGAAAGAGGAAGAAGAGCAGCAGCAGAAAAACATAGGTGCTTCGCTCGCATCTCACCATCTCTGAAACTCCAACGCGACCCGAACTTCCCGACTACCCAACTCTCCGGAATGAATCGCTCCGACGGATTGGTGCGTCGCGCGGTGAAAGTCCGCGAAAACGGTGGGGCGGAGGGCGGACTGAATGCCAACACACCGGACGACAATCAGGATGCACTGGACAGCCTGAAGGACCAGGAGGACAACATCGACGATGGCGACTCCAAGGAAACACGACTAACGCTCATGGAGGAGGTTCTGCTGCTGGGACTCAAGGACAAAGAGGTGGGTGTGCACCTTATCTCTTATCTGCCTGGGATGCACTAATTAATTGGTTTATTTCGCAACTCGAGTGCTTCTTCTTCACCTGTTAACCAACGTCTCTCCGTCTCGCTCTCTCGATTTCTCTCTCTTTCGCAACCTCTTGTTTGGCCTCAAGTGCATCGCGGTCCATCTTCAAGCAGGGGCGTAGTGAAAAGGGTTTACAGGGGGCTATACATCACTGCAGTTATGGAGCATACAAGTGTAAATCACTATCCTGCAGATACAAATTTGATATTTTGCAATCTTGAATAGCTGGCTTTCGGTTGTGGGGTCAGCCCTGTCTTAGGCACTTATGTTTAGCTTTTCCAGTTTGTTGGGCAATACACTATGAAATCTTTTGATCAGCCTGGTGACTAATGCGCAATCAGCGAGACTGCCACACCATTTTCTTAACAACTTTTGTTTTTGCCATAAATAATAGTCTGCTCCATCTCTAAAGGTATAATCAAGCGTTCAGTCTAATCTATAAAACCCATTACTTGCTCTTTGTATTACTTTGTTGTACTTCCTCAATAAGTGATATATTTCTATGTACACATGGGCACAATTCCCAACAAATATTTTCTCTTCCAAATACGATATTTTTATGTGTTACCATCCAGCTCGAACTTAAAAAGATTATTAGAACTCGTGCCAACATTTTTAGTTGTTAAATAGATAGCGCTCTAATAATATATTTCTGCAGTTGGTAGTTATTCGCACAAATATCTCTAGAAATACCTCGAGAACTTCACTCCAGCGAATTTACTTCGTAGCACTGCGAACATTCCATCAAACGAGTTTTCCAATAAGTGGTTAATTTGCATACGTTTGTAATATTCATAAATCTGCGTATAGCTCGGGATGATGCCCGCAAGTGCGAGCCATCATCCATACGTGACCCATTATGGCGAACCGGCGGATTCGCAATTCTCCATTGGATTCGGTTTTTGTATTTCACTTGGCACACAGCTTTATCGCTCAATTGCTGTTCGCATGTACCATATTTTAATGCACACATGTGCCTTTGTGGTGACACCACGTCTATTTGTTTTCATTATTTTGCCCGCAGTGTATTTGTGTGCACACCACCCCCTCTCCCTGCACCATCCACCAAAAAGGGGGATACGAGCTGGAAAAGTGGGACGTGCTGTCCGCTTTTGTTTTACATTCTACTTCTGTGCTCTCTTATCGCGAAGATTTCATCCATTTGGTTAATTGTTTGAGGAAGTACTGCCCTCCGCCGCCTCCGCCCTGCGATCTTCCGTTTTGAGTTCTCCTTCGGGCTCTCCTTATCAGTCGTACGTCACTAATTTTTAAAATTACATAAAGTACTTGGCATCATGCATGGTATACCATCCATTATGAACATTTCTATATCTCGAAATGTCGCTGATAAGCGGTGTGTTCTTTTACTGAACCTGCAAATGATTCACTTGTATACCTTTCGTTCAGAACGATACCTTATCAATCATTTATGCGATTGTTATATAAATCTTTCTGAAATCATGAAATGGCACTGAAACGTGGTAAGGTGAGGTATCTATACCTACCAATTATCATAATTTTTGAAGCGTTAATAATAGGAGTTACTTTTATAATTGATTTTCAGTTTCGTTAAGTTTATTGTCGAAACATAACTTTACTTACTTTTACTAGATAAGCATTGTAGACTCTTAAATTGTATTCTTTACAAAGACGTTACATATATACATAGTATATACACTTAAATGGGTAAGGCCTAAACAAACTCAAGTGTTTAATGTTTTAACAACTGAATATATTCGTCTGGGAGCTTCACTAACCAAGTACAGCGTAATTATTCATTTATTTCATTTCCAAGACAAGTGTAGACAAAAGAATAGACTTGCTCAAATATATGTCAAGATCTTGAAATATGAGACAGTAACCATTAGTTAATGACGTTAGTATTCCAATTTATGTTAGAAATAACATGCTTATTTTTAGATTCACATCAAGACCGAAATAGCTTGAACTTAATAGCATTTTTAATTATTTTCAGGGCTACACATCTTTCTGGAACGACTGCATATCAAGCGGCTTGCGCGGATGCATTCTCATAGAACTTGGACTGCGAGGTCGCGTGATGATCGAGAAGTCTGGAATGCGGCGACGTGGCCTATGTACAAGGTACATATATCCAAACATAGAGTTTCCACGTCCTTTTAGAAGCACACTAATCGTGATTTCCCAACAGAAAATTGATACTGAAATCGGATCAGCAGACGGGAGACGTTCTACTCGATGAGGCACTTAAACACATTAAGGAAACAGATCCCCCAGAGACGGTGCAGAGCTGGATTGAATATCTTAGTGGTGTGTATTTAAACGCGTGTCATTTGGCCATGGATGTTTACGAAAACTAATTGTTGTGGCAGGTGAAACTTGGAATCCGTTGAAATTGCGCTACCAACTGAAAAATGTACGCGAACGTCTGGCCAAAAATCTGGTGGAGAAGGGAGTGCTCACAACGGAAAAGCAAAATTTTCTACTCTTCGATATGACGACACATCCGCTGAGCGACAATGTTGTCAAATGTCGCCTGGTCAAGAAGGTGTGTAACTAGGCATTGATAAGTTCAGGAATTCTAAAACTGAATCCGATATGTATAACTTCAGATCCAGGATTCTGTGCTCTCCAAGTGGGTCAACGATCCACAGCGCATTGACAAGCGGATGCTGGCGCTTATCTTCCTGGCGCACGCCAGCGATGTGATTGAGAACGCCTTCGCGCCCCTGAATGATGACGACTACGAGGTGGCCATGAAGCGGGTGCGGCAGCTGCTGGATCTTGACTTCGAAACGGAGTCGGCCAAGCCGAATGCGAACGAAATTCTGTGGGCGGTGTTCATGGCGTTCACGAAATAGATGATCCTCTGCTCCTCTCCGCTCCTCTCAATAGCACACACCCACACACACACACACGTACCCCAACACAGAAATACAGACCCACATCTGGATTACATTTTGCTGCTTTTGTTTTAGAAACTATGCTGTGAGTGGAACCGAAACGGGCGATAGGATTTTCTTAATTGGCAAACACCCCAAATATCTGTTTCAGTAATATATATTTTTTAAGCGAGACTATAAAGCAGCCATAAAGCCTATTTAAATATATGTTTATCAGCACTTCAATAATATAAATCAACACCTCCATTGTCCTTTGATTTTTCCTGTATTGTTGAGCATTTTACATGCCAATGTTTTGCAATCATAATCAGTAAGTTGTGTTCCACGACACATAGAATTTAGTTGATGATTTCTCTGGCAATGCAAATCAAAATGTATGATGGAAAATTTGAAGCTGCAGCATTGTTTTTGTAATTATATATCTAGCACTAATTGTAAGCGCCAACAAAAAAAACTCTGATAAAGTCTGGGCAAGCTGCGTGCGATTGTCTATTGTGAAATATCTATACTATATATGTTTTATCAAAACTCTTCAATGCTGTGTTTAATTGTCAAGTATTTTCGAGCCCTCTCCATTTATTTGATTGAGCGAAGAAAATCAGTTCAAAACGTTTCTCGAGCTCTGCAATTTTGACTTAGTACGTTCGAACTTAAGTATGCACCCACATGAACAGACAGACAGACAGACAATTTCACACGGAGCGACATTCGATCTAGGCAATGTTTTAATTTAAATTGTTATTGAATTTCGGGAACATTGAAGTTGAAAAACCTTTTCTAACTGCTAAAAGAAATAAAGAAAATAAAGACCGGCGAAAAGTGGACAACAAGAAAAGAAAAATTATGTAAATGTAAACTGTGCACGTCAAATAATAATAATTCTTAGATATTTAAAGGCCTAATAAAATACAAATATAAAATATATAACAGACGCAAAATTGAAAGTTTATTGCAATTTCGGTTGTACCCCTCCATTAAACAGGGGAAAAATATAAAACATTCAATGAAAATAGCTGACGAGTTTTAATAAAAGGTGGAAAGCAATTGCGGGCAATCGTCGGAAGAGAAATGGGATTCTTTCCGACGTGATGACCATTTTTAGGAATCATCTTAATCTTCACAAAGCAAAGGTACTCAGTATATGCCATCAGAAGATGGTAGCAGCGATCTGTACATCATAGGGTAATCCAAGTTTGAGGTTTAAATATCATAAGGACCTCAATTCTGAGTCTTCACCAAGCGATCAGCTCTTGCTGTTTTTCGAATAAAGATCTACAAGATGCGTTAGGGCAGTACTAACCATTAATCCGACTTCCCAATCTGAAAGCAGAGCACAAGTGTTGATTCGCTTTTTAATAAAGATTTTATTCCGTTTTTCGTTCTCAATAAATGGGTGTTTTTGTTTGCAGTGTTTGTTTTCCTTTCGCTAGTTGAAGGGGCAATATACCATATAAGTCGAGTAATTCTCACACGAAACATTTAGGTTATAATATAATAATCTTTCAATGACATAAAGTATGATAAAAAGCAGGGCGCAGCGCACAAGTTATTGCAAAGATACATTAGGCCAAAAATAAAGTGAACAAAGTAGTGCTCTTATACTATCCATTTTAATCAACTAGCAGTTTTCAACTGTGGAAAATTTGCAAGTAATTTGTAATTACAATTAAACATATCATGGAATTTTATAAGAGAATAATTTTTTCTAATTTTGCAGATAAGCAGTTGCCTCGTTTAACAAATGTTTCGTTTTAGCGCAGCCTATCAAAAAATACATACAAATATATATAAAGTAGAACAAATCAAATTATGAAAACTTTAATAAAATGAATGGAAGAATTGATACGCTGGAAATGATAGCCATTAATTAATATATATGTATATGTATTTTTATGTAAAGATAATTGAAGTTCCAACAGCTCTCAGCGCCAGTTTCTGCTTCTGATCCTAAACCCTTTGCATTTCTCATTTTCCGAGGCGGCTGCGCATGGACGACAGACGACGCATCCGAGCCCTGTTTTGGGAATAGCTGTCTGCCCACCGCTGCTCGGTCTTGTATGTGCCGGTGTAGCCGGCGTGCTAACTCAGCAGATCCTTGATCTCCTTGTGCATGTGACACAGGAAATCCACGTAGCTGGCGGAACCGTCTGTACCGCGGTCTTCCACAAGGAAGTGTCGGAACACGCTCTCCAGCTTGTCATTCTGCCGCAACCAGGTTATCTGAAGAAAAGATGAAGTTAGTTACACATTTGCAAGAAGGCGAAAATCTGTTAGCTTGTGAATAAAAATACGCACTCTCATGTATCGCGATCGCTCCTTCATGATCATCTCTAGGATGCCGTGTATGCGCTTGGCCAGCGGCGTTTCTGGAACAATGTTGAACCGCTCCAAAGCAATTTGCTGCAGACCCTGAACGCCGAAGACAGACTGCACAAAATCAGGCGACAATGCCTGGCCCAGCCAGACGAAGAGATGGACTCCATTCTCCAGGATATAGGCGCCATCCTCTTGCGTCTTTTCGTGCGTGCAGCGAACGGGAGTCGGCAGATCTGTCTCCTCGGGCACAACGTTGTGGATGGGAATGAAACGGGGATACAGGTAACTGACGGATTGATTCAAATCCATGGACAGAATAAACTGGATAACATAAGATCGATCGTCTAGCGTCATGTCCGAGCCGCCGGATATAGCATCGTTTTTGAGCAAGCACGAGGCATACAGGGGCAGCAGCTTCAGGCACTCGGGAAGAATCAACTGGCCGGCGGAGGTGGGCGAGGTGCAGTGCTTACGATAACAGGCCAGGATCTGCGCCGATCGATGGATTAGGTTATCTTTCACCTGCTTGGGTGAGTGCTCCATCAATTTGAAGCAAGCCTGCTTGGCGAAGAACAGCATCATCGCGTCCAGGTCGCAGCTCTTAAAGACGTCCGCAATCGTCGTTGTAACTCGCAGAGCCAGGTTAAGGATTCGCAGACGCCTTTGTCCGCTGCACGAGGTGTACAACAGTGCGACTTGAAGGTACACGTTCTCTTCTGGCGGCAGCTTGTCGTCATGCTTGATCTCAATGCTTACCGACTTGGTGGCATCTGGAAATCGAAAGGAAAGTTATTAGCTTATATAAAAGCTAGATGCACTTATGGCTACATACCAATGCTGGCCAGCTCCACATCAGTTGTATTGGACATAAAGAAGTGACCATAAAACTCTGTGGGTCGAATGCCCGCCGATGTGCGTACCCTCATCACCGCGTCGAAAGCGATCGGTCGCGACACGTTCTTAATGATATCCTGTATTAGTCTCTTGCCATCCACGTCCGCCTGGAAGTAGGTGTACTTGAACACCTCGCCACCAGTCAGTCGAGAAACCTGCCCAATCGTGGCCAAGTCGATGTAGGCGTTGTTAAACACGAATAAATCCACTGAGCAACCCTGCTGGACACACTCCTGACCCAGTGTGTTATATGCAGTGGTTTGCGGGGTGAGTACGGTTTTCTCCTTATCAGTTCCCAAAAGCTTCCGATCGTCTCGATTCTTAAGCTTGCCAGGCGCCTCCGCAATAGGGAGCGTTGAGTTAAACACCAGCAGCTTTCCGGCTGCATTGGATGCCTTAAGTGCCTCCAAGCCCGCTTGAATGGCAGGGTACAGAATCGTTTCTGTTTCCTTGGTGTCGGAAAACATACGAGGGATCTCTTCCATCAGAGCATCGATTACAGCTGCAGAATCATCTGGGTGGCACAGGAATCCATCCAGCAGAGGCATAAACATCTCCTGGACATCGCCCACCACCATCATTTGCGGCTGAGCCAAACTGCTCTTGATATTGTAGAAATGCACGGTGCTGTTGTACGTGATGAATCCCACACGCACCTTGGATTTGTCTTGACCCTGATCGACTGGCAAATGCTTGAGTATGTTCTTGATCTGGGAGCAGAGCAGATGAACCAGTCCCGACTTCACGGTGTTGTAGGAGACGTCGATGATGAAGATAAAGGCGGGAACCTCCGGGGGAGTATTGTTCTGCGGCAAAGGTAAATGGTTTACGATAATTAAAAATCAGTTTAGAATGTGTTTATAAACATGAATATTATTAAAAACAACCAACGAAAATGTTCATGCTTTGGAAATATACAATCCATTAACAAAAATGCCAGATGTTCAACATATTTTTTGAGATATGTTTATGTCCCATTTTGAATAAAAAACTATTTTTAAAAGCAACACATTTCGGTGTCTTTTAAAGTATTATTTTCAGAATTGTCAATATATAACTTACCCGACAGTAATCCTTGGTGGCCAGGAACTCGTAAGTTCCCAGCAGTAATTCAGGTCTTTCATGCTTGTCCACACGCTGACCAGTGTGATCCAGATGCTGATAGTAGTCCTGATGAACTGTAAGATAGTTTAATATTAAATAAAGGCTTCATTAGTTTCGTTCAAGATCGCTTACCCTCCGAAGTTACTTTGCACATCAGGCACTGGAATCGTCGGCCGGCATCCACAAACTGCATATTGGGCGACATGTACGCCTTACACCTGTTGCAACGAATTGGTCCCATTTCGCCGAAGTTCACGATAGGTGGCTCCATTTCACCCTCGGCAATTTTGGCCAGCGGAGAGATGTTCAGTGTCAAGGGCAGAGCTGTGGTCTTCAAAAGATCACCGGTATTGGGGATGCAATAGAGCGAGGTGCGCAGGAAGCGGGGTGAAGAGTTGCCTTGGTCGTGAACCACGAATTTGGTGGTCACCAATGGAGGCAGCAATCCTGGCTGGTTGGTTACAAACGGTCCTCCAGACAGTCGCTGGTTCTCAATCATCACCTGGATGGGATTGGGCATTTGATCGGGATCCAGGCGTCGTGCCTGAGGCGCCTGTTGATACATATTTCCTGCTCCTGGCATGGGAGGTTGCTACAATATAAATTAATTAATTACTTGAAGTCTCGTTACAAAATAATAATTGTGACATACATTAAAGCCAGGACGTCCTGGCTGACCTGGATATCCGGCACCTGGATGAGGTGGATATCCTGGTCCTCCTGCCTGCTGTCCCGGTTGTGGTGGATATCCTGGCATGGGCTGCTGACCGGGTTGTGGCGGATAGCCTGGCTGCTGACCCGGGTAACCAGGTTGTGGAGCTCCGAATTGCGGCGGAGCGGCAGCCTGCTGACCTGGAAGTGGCGGTGGTGCTCCAGGGAAGCCTCCGGGAGCCTGTCCTGGATAGCCACCTGGATACCCGCCTTGCTGAGGGGCTCCGTAAGGTGCTCCTGGTTGCGGGGGCAAACCGGGTTGTGATAGGGGTGGCAATCCAGGCTGCTGTGGGGGAAATCCCGGCTGCTGCTGTGGGATTCCTGGCTGCTGCAGTGGTGGGATTCCCTGCTGCTGCTGCTGCTGAGGTGGTAATCCGGGTTGCGTGTAAGTCGGAGGAGTTGCTCCAGGAGGTAGCTGGGGTTGACCCGGTCGTGGGCTCGGTACTCCATACGCGCTAGGGGCAGGCTGGGATGTGGGAATCTGACCGGGAAATGGTGGCTGTCCGGGAATCGGGGGTTGTCCGGGTAGAGGCGGCTGAGAAGTAGAACCAGCTGCAGGAATTGGAGGCTGACCAGGTGCTGCTCCCGGCGTGGCCGTTTTCGGAGGCGGCATGTGCGGCAATCCCGCCAAACTGGCGCTGTTCAAGCTCATCTGATTTATCCCACTGGCCACGCTTTGTGGAGTGCTGCTGGGCGGTAGGGCTCCGTTGACATAACTTCCAGCTTGCGTCGGTGGCGGAGCACCGAATGCAGCATTGTTGTTGTTGGTCGGAGGGGGAGCCGCGTTAGAGTTGAACTGATTGAAACCGGTTGGCGGTGGAGCCGCAGCAGCGGGAGCTCCTTGGGGAAGTGGTGGCTTCAAGGGATTGGCCCCACCACCCACACTCAAACCTCCCATCGACGTGGCCAACTGCAAGAGAGAATGGTTTTTATTAATTTCACTTCGTTTTTCTTATCTACAAGCCCAGCTTCACTCTTCCATTATGAAATCACGGATGACCTCTTTTAATGAATGAAGTGCTCGCATCTTATCAGGCGCAATTTCTAAAACCTAAAAGTGTTGCCGTGGTTAGGGTTACACTGGTACTTTATTGTAAAACTAGTTTTAAATATGTATGTTAATTATATCAATACCAATGGCTTTCAGATTCTAACCCTATTCTTATTGTCAATCATAATATTTATAAATTCTGTGATGAAAATTGATGGGCTACTTCAGTTTGATCCAAATGTGAAAATCAAGAAGACCAGGATGAAGCTGGGCGGATTATACAGGATGGTCTGCAAATTCTTGTTAAGGCTATCATGCATAAAGCTATCCCATTCACCTGCTGTTGGTAGTTGCCATTGAGGTAAGGCTGGGATGCTGCCGACGTTGGTGGTGGTGCTCCGTACTGTTGTTGTTGTTGTTGCTGCGGCGGAGGCAGTTGCTGCTGCTGCGGCGGAGGCAGTTGTTGCTGCTGCGGCGGCTGCTGCTGTTGCTGCTGCGGTAATTGTTGTTGTTGCGGTGGCCAACCTCCGGACATCGGCGGAGGAGCTCCAAACTGGGGCTGCTGCTGGAACTGCGTGGGCGGTGGCCCGTACATATTCGGATTCATTCCTGGACCGGATTAATCACCTTGCTTTTGGCGGAGAGGGTTGACGCCAAGCCAACAAACAACTTTCACGGGAAACGAAGAGAAAACACACACGGAATGGCTCAAAGTTCGCCACGGCGATTTGGCAATTTCGGGGGCTGCTCGGCCGGATTCCTGACCACTGACTCCTCGATTTTGGCCACTGGGTGTTGGCCTCAACTCTCGACGGCCGCGGCGCACGATCGCTGGTTGAAAAACAAGAATTATTTCGAGCTAAACGAACTTCCACGTCAGTTCCCTAATTCGATCTTTTTTGCTCTTTTTGCCTTGCCACGTAAGCTATCGGTAATCGGCAGTGGAAAATCGAATGTTAATCGATTGTTCTCTTTCGGCTGCCAACGCCGAATCGATAATCAGCACTTAACAGCGCTGCTGTTAGCGAACAGCTGCGAGTTATGTTATGTGTTGAGGTGGTGCAATGAAATGCCGTGACGTCACAAAATACGTTGGTTGAGTTGAAATAAATAAATAGATGAGATTAACGAAAGTTGAAGTTAGATTAAAAATAAATTTGTAGATTCCTATACATTTATTAAAATACACCTTAGTGAGAGTAATACAGCTTACATTCAGGGTTTTATAGTAGATTTAATTCCTTATCCGGAGGAAAGGTCACCAAAGGCTCAGAGAATTCCTCGAATCGGCCGCCCCAAGCCCTGGTGTCCACCTTAAAGGAGTCCTTCTCGAACTGGACTACGGGCTGCAGGACCTTGTTGAATCGCAGCCCCGTAAAACGCTCTATTTCGCCGATTTTGACGCGATGGTCACTCAACTTGCCGCCAACCATTCGGCTGTTTTCGATTATATATGCTTCCATGAAGGGATGTGATCCCGGGATTCGACTCTCAACGATCAGTACCTTAAAGTAGTGGGACGGAACTGGCATCGGAATCCAATCAAACACTTCATACTTCATGGTCCATTTGCCGCCCTCGTGACAGGATGGCGTGTAAATCGGCCCAGTGTAGGCGTACACAGAGCCAAACTCTATGGCCTTGCTGGACACGTATTTCTCCAGATCGTTCCAGATTTTCCGCTTGAACGCCTTGCAGATGCTCATCGAACCGCAGCTCAACACATAGACATCATTGTAGCGTAGATTCAAGGTGCTATAGCCGCCATCATCCGACATAAGCTTTTGATAATCCCCACGGAAATGCTCGCAAATCCATCTGGGCGCGTTCGTGCACATGTCCTGCGAAACCACGTAGTCCTTGTGGACATACAGGTTCTCCGTGCTGGGCAGTCCGTACTTGATTAGGTCCAGCAGATCTGTTGTAGTTGCCGATTCGGATTTCAGCATCAGAGCAGCAGTAACAAAATCGAAGATCGGTGATACTACCAGCTCCCTGAATCTGTCGGCCAATGATGTGGTACGATTCCACAAACGGGTCTCATGGTCTGTCCTAAAGGTGGATAGCTTTTGTAAAACTATAATAAAATAATGCACATATTTTGAACTTTTTATATCGCTCACCATGGGATATAACTTGTGACGATAGTGATAGACATAGGGATCCCTGCGAATCTGCTGGAACAGCTGCCTTATGGACGCCTCTTGTTGAACGAAGGCTCCACATACAAACCCGGTTACTCCCGCAAGGGCACATAAGGCCCACTGATGAACTCTTGATTCGTTGATGGACATAAATGGGCCTTACAATAATTTCGAGTAGTGTTTCCTTGATAACATGTAGAATGTCAATTTTTAGAAATAAGCCTGCTTGCAGACAAGCTTTTGGAATGTTCCAATATATTCAACAGTTGGGACCCAGTTGGGACTAACCAAAGTCCCGAAAAACTTGCGATTCACTTGGATAATTGCTGCCAAAGAGGGCACTCCTCCTCAATCCGTCGAAGAACTTGAGGCCTGCGTAGTGCTCAATCTCACGGATGTCGCAGAGAAACGACCGGAGTGGCAGGCCATCTGGTATTGGAGCATTGGGCAGGACATAGCCCTCCATATAGGGTTTACCCAGGTGCAATTTTGATTCCACCATGATGACCTTGAAGAAGTGCGTCGGAACTGCTACCATATTCAGTCCGATCATCTCGTACTCCACCGCCCACTTACCTTCCGCTCTTTGATTGGGCTTATACAGCGGACCGGTGCACACGAATACGGATCCAAATCGGTGGACCAGATTTCGACAATATTGTTCCAAGTTGTTCCATGCGCCTCGATTGAAACCCTGGCCCACTTGTGGGGCAATATTCGTCAGGAAGAACGTATCCTCGCAGTGGTTCTGCTGCAGATGGTGATTCCCCGCGGCTGCCAAGTGTCCTCGGTCGAATCCAGATCTCCGATAGTCGCTCAGTTCCGCGCGGAAGTTGGAGGGAACACTCAGGTCCGGCTGGTATGGGTTTCGGCCACGTCTGCCTCGACTGGGATGAATGCTGTCCGCTTGGAGGTGCTCACACACCCAGTGGGCCACTCGGTTGCGGCGATCGTAGGAGAGCACAAAGTCACTATAAAGACGCAGGTCGTCCAGGCCAGGGAATCCAAACTTCATGATTTGCCTCATCCGGTGATCGACTTCCATATTGGACTCAAAGAAAGAAAACTGGTTGGGGGAAATAAATTGGAGTTTTACCTATATTCCCATATTTTATTTCGATTACCACTTCATAAATTTTGGGACCGAGATAGTAGGCATAGGGATCCGTTTGTACTAGTTCCTGCAAGCGCTTTCTGGCATCTTTGTGCTGAAAATACATCCCACCCACGAAGGATGCACAGAGCGCTGTCACTCCCAGGACGAAACCAAGTCCCAGGAGCTGCCACTTTCGGTCCATGAAAGGGGCTCTGTGAGTTACCCCTTAAAAGTAAAAAAAACAATGTATTTCTAAAGGATTTATCATGGCCAACACTATCTCTTTGTACATATATTTAGATTCTATTTGGGGGAGATAGCACTTCGAGTGTCCAAGGTCCCCGGCAAAGTTAAGGGGCTTGTTAAAGGACCATTTACTGGGTGGACTATTGAACTGGATACTTGGACGTTGACGAAGTTGCGGTCGAGTCCTTCGAAGAACCGTAGGCCAGTGGCGTTTTCTATTTCCCGGACATCGCTGAGAAGGGTCTTCAGTTCGACATTGTTGTTCAGCGGCGAGTTGGGCATCACGTAGGCCTCCGCATAGGGAATGGTATCGCCTTCGATCTTCTGATCTATGACCAGGACCTTGAAGAAATGGGTGGGCACGGCCACCATGGTCCTCTCTTCCGACTGGAACTCCAGGAACCAACTGTTCGACTTTAGCTCACGTGGCAAGTACACCGATCCGGTGTAGGTATACACAGTTCCATGTCTTTGGCTCATCTCATGGACGTACTGCAGCAATCGATCCCAGACGGTGAGATTGAATCCTCTGTTCAGAAATGGTTTTATGTTGGACAGGAAAAACACCCGAGCTGCCTCCGACTGCCTGAATGCTCCAGCTGCTACCACGGATGCGGAATCCCCGTAGACGACGCGATTGGACAGATCTACCCGCTCGCACATCCACAGAATCGCGGAGTTTCTTCGATCGAAGGAGGTCACAAAGTCAAATGTCTCGTTCAGGGTGATATCATTGGTGCTGGGGAAGCCGTACTTCATGATCCCGCCCAGCTTGTGGCAGTCATCGGGATCCACGTCCAATTCTGCGTTATCAGCTCGCACAGCGAAAATTCCCAGCTATAAGATACAAATAGTTTATGTTAATAGAATGAGGAGTTCGCTAATAGAAATCTATTGCTTACCAGTGCGTACAGCTTCCTTCTGATGAAGTAGGCATGTGGGTTTCGTTGCTCCAATCGTCGAATTTTTCGCATGACATCAATGTGCTGGTAGTATGCTCCCAGTGCAAAAAAGGATCCAGCTGTGGCCAATATACCAAGAATGCCCTTCACTGGCACTTCCATCGATCCTATATATCAACTCTGCCAATTTTGTGTTATAAATTAGAAACAAATTCGAAATCGGTAACTTGTCTGTTGAGCTGCAAGTAAAACCTATGAGTTGTGTGTGAAAACTAACTTAGTTGTGCCTTAAATTTGAAACTGCTCCGCCCGAAAACCTGACTTTCCTGCAGTTAATCTTTAAAGTTTCCGTGTCCAAGTTCAGACCCCACTGCACTTGCCAACTGCATTAAGTCAATAGAAAAAGTTGCAGTCATCGTTGTAGAGCTAAAAACTAAAAGTCCCCAGGACAAAACACCCCCATTCCAGTTTACTGCCCCCTTGAACCGCATAATAAGCGCTTTTTGGGGCTACGCCTGACTAAACCAAAAGCGGCGTCAAGATTTATTCTCGGAATCTCGTCGCACTTTGTTATGCTTAAAAATGTTAGTTGTGGATTTACAGTTTTTCCGTTTTGGCCAGAAAACTTTTCACCACCCCCTGCTCTGAAACTTTGATCGGTGGAGCTATGAAAAAGTGGAGTAGCAAGGGAGGTGAGGGTTGGATTGTTGTTGCCCAAACTATTCTATATTTTACTTAAGCCATGTTCTAATGAAGTTATTGAAATTTCCGATATACAAATATTACTACGTTGTTTCCAGGGTTTCTTTAGGAAAAACCATTTACCCTTAATCTCTGTGAGTAAAGCCCCTACCAAGCTGGGCAAAAACTTTTCCAGACACATGAGAAGGGATTCAATGAAAGGGGCCCAAGTGCAGTAAACTTGTTTGGCATGGGAATCGGTGACCAAGTCTCCGAATATCCTTTTTCCGGGAACCGAATTCAAATTTCTCCCTCAGCCGCAGGAATTGTGCTCCACATCCTTCTGCCATTTCAGTTGGCCGCGAGGCATTGCCAATTAATTTCCAACATCTAATTGGTGGTTGGCCAAATTTATTGGGCTCGCGTTGGTGGAAGGGCTGTTTGTCCTGCCCCCCAGGATCTGTTTGCATATTGATTGATGCCTGGAGGGGTCCTTGTGCCAATCTGAGGTGCACTGCATACCTTGTCGGGCGCTCGAGCAACTTGCTTTGCTCCTCGCGGATTTTCTAATCAACAAGGCAGCCAAAATTTGCATAATTAAAACGTTTTCATGTGGCGCAGGTGGAAGGCGGGAAAGGCCACGCCCGCACCGTTCCCGCCCCAATTTTCCATTTTGCTTGCCAGCCGAAAAACTGAACCGCTAAGTGACTGAAAATTTGTCGCCTCATTTGAGTTTGGATTAATGAATTATGCACTCGGGGCTGCTTAATTAAGCGGGTTTCGAATGTGATTAGGGCCACGCAATTAGCCGATAGGACTGAGCGTTTTCGGGATCCGCGATAATCATTTGCTGACTGACAGCCATAAAAACGTGGCCCCAGGATTCGGAAAACCATGCTCATTACGCAGCCTTTTTCTGGATTTTACAGCAGGTCAACTTAATGGGGTAATTAACTTATCAGGGTTAAGAAAGGATGGATCGGTTAACCCTTTATGAGTTCCTACTCGGGTTTCTCAGCTTGCCAATTAGCGCCAGAAGTGCTTATGGTTTATGTAATCACAACAATTTGTTGTTTGCAAAGATACTTCTTATATGCTGTGTATATGTATATATGGTAAGAAGCAAATGTTATCTTGTGTACTTGCTGTGTTTTTCAAGACCATTAGTCATTTGCCATCTCCCTCCCAATCGATGCTCGTTATAAGGAAATACGATGATCTATGGGAAGAGAGAGAGTGCGCGATCAGTTATCAGTGGAGTGAGTGGTCCACTGAGCACAGACCTGGAGCCGCCGCTCTCCGTTCCGATTGGGAAGTGGGAGCTCGCGCCGCTCGAGCAGCGAGAGATCGGCGGAGAGCTGTGTCAGTCAGTTGCGCACGCACCAGTCAGCCGCTCGGACCTGCGGCTCGTACCGCCGAAGTGCGAAGTCTATAACGGGGATCGGTCATCGCACGCACTACTCGATCGGTCAGAAGCCCCAAGGGAGACGTCTTGGAGTAGCCATGATTTCGCCGCTGGGACGGATTAGCATCATCAGTGCGCTGTTTTTGGCATTCGCGGCCCTCGCACTTGGTGGGTAGTAACGTAATAGCACACGTTACAAGGTCTTATCGCAGATATGCGTGGAAATCCAACTGATTGATATGATGTTTTGAATTTTACTTTGATCTCCAGCCAGCAGCTCGGAGAGAACCGAACTCGATCCCAGTGCCACCTGCAATTACACGCTGCTGAAGAAGAAGACCTTGGGCGTGGACCCCTCCTTTTGGAAGAAGTTCTTCAAGCATCTGATACCCTTCACCAGTTCGAGGGGTAAGATGCAGTTCATACTCTTCAAGCGGGACTTCGCGGACTGCGGAAGGGAACTGTTCGTCGGCGATGTGGAGAACCTCAGGAACTCGGGCTTCGATGCACGTCACCCAACGAGGTAAGGGGGATTTCCGGAAAGATTAAAATCCCGTTGGCAGATCGAATGGGGGTTTTCGCATCGATCAATTCAAATGAAACAATCAATTCATTGCATTCATTATCGCTGAGATAATGGCTTAAAAGTAGTACAGCTTTTCATTCAGCTCACAACAATTGGCAATGTGTTTAGTATTCCCATCCAGAAATTAAAGAGAGAGCTAAACAGCAGATCTAATGAATAGAACCAAAACTAATATTTGCCGAATTCTCTCAACAAACAATTAAATTTTTATATTTCGCGATTAACACGAAAACAGGTTTCTCTGCTTTATATATTTACATTTTTTGGTCGAGCTTTCGTTTGAGTTATCGCCATTGAGTCATTGCCATTTGACTGACACTTAAATTATTGCTAATTAAAACACACTAATAGCTAAAAGATAATAATAATTGGTACACCAATTTTGCATTTAAAGAGTGATAAGATATCAGACTAAGTTGGTATCATAGGTACTTGAATGGAAATCTGTTTATTTGAAGGGGCATTGATTTTAACAATTTTAAATAATATAGTTAGGCTTGCAATTAGTCACAATAATATTGATATTGTTCTTTCCTGATTGCTTATTTGAGGATTGTCATACATGGCTGGATGAGTCAGAGCAAGGGTGGCCATATAAGGAAGATTAAGAACGCCTATCTGAGCCTGACCAATCCGGGACCCAATGGTGAACCCGCCGCCTACGAGGACTTCAATGTGATCGTATGCGACTGGAGCAAGACATCCACGAATGTGAACTACTACGAGGTGGCCAAGATGGTGGAGGACATGGGCGCCCTGCTGGCGGAACTGGTGCGCTATCTCAACCAGGTGGCGAACATGCACTACGACGACGTCTACGTCATTGGACACTCGCTGGGAGCCCAGATTGCCGGCAGTGCTGGGAAGCGGATAATGCCATATCGATTCAACACCATATACGCCTTGGATCCGGCGGGTCCACAGTTCCGTGAGAAGAGCGATGAGTACCGCATCGATGCCAGTGACGCCTTCTATGTGGAGTCCATTCAAACCAGCGTTAGCTTTGGCTTCGAGCAGCCCGTGGGACACGCCACCTTCTATCCCAACTATGGGAGGAATCAGAAGAAGTGCTATGTATATGGCTGTTCGCATAAGAGGTCCCATGATTACTTCATCGAGTCCCTGACGAGTCCGGCGGGCTTTTGGGGACCACGATGCGAGCGTCACGACGATGGCACCTGGGTTCTCCTCATGAGCGACGGAGAGTTCCGGATGGGCGGAGAACCCTCGATCCCCAAGAATGGAACCTTCTATGTGAAGACCTACTCAAAGCCGCCCTATGCCATGGGCCACAGATGGCAAACGGAACCGCCTCCACGGGAGGATGATGTGGAGAACTCCACGGAAGAGTAAGATATTGGTTGATATATGTACATTTGTTGATGAAATAGAGTCCGAAATTTGGTATTTATAATTGCTTCTTGGGTTCACTTAGTCAAACACTGCTTTGGTAACTTTCTGTTATCATGGATTTGTTTTCAGTTTCATACAGCACTTTAAAAGCATTTATTATAAATAGTACACCTATTTTTATAAACTTTGTTTAGGTAACTTATTTTACCAATAGGCAGACCTTCTTATCCGGCCAATTAAGTTTTATGGCGAACTATTCACAGAGAAATAACAGAAATAACAACTAGCGAGTGTGCAGTCTGCTGGAAATTTCTATTAGTAACCTTAACTTCAAGATAGGTATAAAAACCTCACGAGGCACGAGAGGCTTATCCACTGTTTTCACAATATTCAACCGAAAATGTTCCGCGCTCAACGCGTTTGCATTTATTTCGTAGTTTTCCTGGTCTTGGCAGCTGCCAGGCCCAAAATAAGCTCGCGAATTTCCCAGAATCAAATTGGATTGCGAAAGATCGCATTTTCTACGGAAGAACGTGCTGCTTCACAGTCATCATTGTCCACAGAGGCAGCCAGTGAACCAAAGACTACTGGGGTGCCCACGGTAACTTCATCATCATCATCTAAGGAAGCTAGTGAAGCACCCGAAGGTTCCAGCCAAGAGGCATCCGAAGCTTCCTATGAAGATGAGAGCTCCGAATCAAGCGACGAATCAGAGGAAGGATCGTACTACTACTATGATGACGATTCGTATCCCAGCTACTACGATAGTTACTTTGATTATTGATGCATCGCATCACCATTGTACTTTGTGTCAAAACGGAATACAAATCACTTTGAAGAGGCTTGAAAATTGTGCAGAGTAAAAATGAAGCTGTGTTTCCTACTGGGCCTTGCTTTTTTCGGTCTTTTGGCTCATGCAGGAGCAGTTCCAATACCTCAAGCTGTAGTGTTTGTGGGATTGGCCACCAAACCCGAAATGGATTTTCCGGACATTGATCTCTGGAGCAGGACTTGAGAGGTGCGTCAAGTTGCCGGTGCTCGATGCCACAAATCCTTATACGTTTTAGTTTCAGAATATGTTAGACTGCCTTCTCCACACTGTTTTTCTTCCCAGCTCGCTGCATATTTGGAACAGAATTTTTAATTAAAACAAGCAATATGTTACCCAAATTGTTGCTGCTGCTCTTCGAGCGCCGGAAAGTTGTGCAAAACTGCAGTTTTTGGACAAGAGGCTGCGGCGGGTTGTTGCTAATGCATTTACTTGGCTTAATTAGTTGAGATGCTACATTATTCATACGCCACGTGTGACCAGCGGCCACCCAATGTGCTGATGCCTGCCGCCTCCTTCTTTTCCTGACAGCATCATAATTTTCACTTAATTAAAGTTGTCGTTGTTGTGGGTGCTGAGTTTGAGGTTTAGCCCGGGGAGCAGTTAGAGAGTTGTGGCAGTGCATTCGGGTCGAAAGTTGGGGGGGCGGGGGAAAAACATGGGTATTTATGCTCACAAGTATTCGCTCTTAATTTAATCCAGTCTAACTACGAAAGTTTTCGAATGCCTGGCTGGTTATTAAAATAGCTGCATGTTTTGGAAAGAATTTGCCTGCCTGTGACTGAGAGTGAAGACTGAAGAATGCTTAAAAAATACTTATTAAATTGTCTGTAAACACTTGTTAATATCATAAAATAAAATTTCCAATCCCTACAAAAGCTTACCCACCAATGTCAGAAAATGAAACAATGCTCGGTATATTAAATTTCCCACATGTTTGCCGAACATGTTTGCATCTTCGGGCAACTTCACAAAGTTGACATGCCAAGACAATTAAGGTTTGGCATAATCTGTTGATTGGCTTAATAAATATCCAAATTCACCTATCGTAATTGTTATCCTAAAGTGACAGATTGACGGCAAAGCCAAATGGAAGCGGAAATCTTTTGAGCTTCCGAGTGAAGGGACAGCTCGGTTGAATCTCAGGTGGAAAACGGATTCACTTAAATTTCATGCAAAATCATTTATCCTTTTTTACCCAAATAGTTGGCAGCCTTTCGATTTAGCCCGAAGTGGTTTCTTTCGATTGATGATTGTGTGCGAATCCCCGAGGGCACAATATTTGCTCCTGAATTTGATTATTTAAATTTGCACATTCGTTTTCATGGCGCATAAATTATTTATGAGCCCAGTGTGTGGACGCCGGCAGTTCCATTATGGCATTCTAATTAAGGCGGCCCACAGAATTTCTCCCAAGTTCATTGTAACTTAGGAGCCCCAACTAACTGATGTCCAAAGGATGTGCATTGAAAGCTTAAAAATTCACCGTAAAATTCAGGAGGACAAACCCTTTTCCGTTGACAGCCTGAAGACCAATTTGTCGCCCAGAAATGGACCGTGTGAAAGCCTCGGAGTGCCATAACTTTGCTGATGTGTTGGGTGTTGAGATTGTCGCCCCGGAAGCCCCAAAAAAGCCAAAGAGACACAGGAAAAATTAAAGGGAAATCAGGTTTCATTTTGCGGATAAGCAAAAGGCTGCAAAGGACGCCAGCCGAGCTGTCCTGGCAAATGAGTCCGATACGAAGGCGCTGACAATGACTTACATTGCTGGAAATCCAGCCAAGCCGGCAAATCGAGCAGGACAAGGACCGCTTAAGTTCATGTGCACACGCACTTAGGTCAGCAGATATCGGTTCGAAAGTTCTACTTACAGATATAGCCCCATATCTCCACGCCGCTGCTATTTGTGCCATTTTATAGCGCTTTTATGGCACACCAGTTTGGTGCTTTCTGCCTTCTGTCGGTGTGTCCTGCGTCCTGCGTCCTGGTCCGTTTTCCTCTTTAAAATATTCAAATTTGATGTGTGTGCGGGTGGAGTGGCTGGGAAATCCGGCACTCTTGTGTGCTCAACTGTGTAATAGAGAAGGCCGTCTTCAAGTAACGGGTAGGTCATAGGAAAAGTGCGAAAACGGTTGGGAAAACTCTCTAGTCAAATTCTGAGACCTACAGTTAACTTGGGACGTGTAAAAATACGTTCTTGCCAAGCTAATAGATTGGAATTTATTTATAAAAATAATTATTAAAGAATTTATTCCTTAGGTTTATTCCTTAGCATTTATCCCTTACCTTCCTGAATTTATATATTAAGCTATTATTTGGAACGATTTTCATATAAGAGCACTGGCCGCCTTATATGTATATACTATACTGTATGGCACATGCTCCCCACTCCCCCCCCCCCCCCCCCCATTCACATCCGTATCCGTATCTATGTCAGTTCACTGGAGTGCTGTTGTTGTTGCGGCTCCTACTTTTCGGGCCTTTTTCCAAGTTTGCGGTGTGATTTTATGTGCAAACTTAAATTATACAATTTGGGGGTCCATGAATACATTTTTCCCCCTCTCCGGCGGCTCCAGCGGCTCCAGCGTCTTGTGCCTTTCAGTTGCTGGTTTGCTGCTGCTGGTTTGCTGCCGAAAGGGACAATGAGTTGCTAAATGCTTTGAATATTCTTCTGGCCATTGCCTGGCCTTGCATGCATAATATACGATATATGGTCATGTCAGATGCGTGTCCTTCGAGTGTGGTCCTGCATAAAGGAGGGGCGGAGCGGGGGGAATCCTTGAGACGCCGGAAGGGGGCACAGTGTGTTTGTGTTGACAGGTCGAGTGTGTCGTGCGGTTTTCTTGCAGAAATGGTTCTCAATCTCAGTTCAGTTGAGTTCAGTTCAGTGGCAACCAAAAGGTTTTGGCTTCGGTTTCGCCTGCAAAGTGCTACATTGCTCCAATATAATAAACGAGTATTAGAAACGATATGACATCTGCTCGACTATAAAACAATTTCATAGGCAATAGCAATGTCAATTGATTAATTATACAGCAGCGCAAGGATTCATAGAAACCTAAAATATTTTATTGAACTTCGATTTGAAGCACTAAACTATATATGGTTATATGGCACTCATTTATGATCTTGAAGCATGAGAAAGTTAATTCCAAATTAGTAACTAAACGGGTATTGTTAAAAATTCGTTGCCTTGTTTATGAGCTGCGCTCCGTATGAAAATACAAGTTAATGATTGTGGTCTTTGTGTGTGGCTTTGGTCGCTCTTAATGCCAGTTAAGCACACAACAAAGTACGCACTTTGTTAACATTTAAAAGCCGGCAATAAAGACACATGCTGTCCTTTTTTTGCCCCGCCCCCACTTCCACTCAACCGCCCAACGCCCACAAATGCAGCTGGGAACCATATTTTTGTTGTTTTTGCTTGGACTTAACCCTTTTTTCCGCTTTGTTGTAAGTATGTGTGTGTTTAATGTCTGGTGGTCGAAAAAGTTAACGTGCACGTTCGCAAATATGCTGTCGTAAGCTAATAGTGCATGTGTGCTAACTTTTTTGTAGCACTGTACGGCATTCTGTGAGCGGAGTAAACAAACGAGTTGGCTGAAAAGGAAAAACAGGGATTGGGTTTAATTCAATTATATGTCTGGCAGTTTTGGCTTACACATATGTAGGTCCTGCATAGGTGAAAATGTATTTAATATCTCCGTGCATAGCAGGAACTTGAAATCAAAAGTGCTTTTCAAATTGTTTAGAAAACAGAGCACTAAAATATACTGTGCATACTTTTAGGCACATTGTTATTGTTCTTCATATTCTTCCCTGTGACTTCTGGGAGATATCGCAAACTACTCCGCATAAACGCCGCTACAGAATGGGAGAACAAAAAGGTGAGCGAATCTTCCACTTTCATGGCAACTTGTCCTGGCCTCAGCTGGTTGGCTTTTGTGCCCAGCAGTCGCGAGTGAGCAAATTAAACGAGATGGCCACCACAGACCTCTGCGATCCGCTGCACACAACCATTATAGCATAAGCACAACATTTATGAAAACTATTTGCCGAACTCAAGGCAAAGCGCAGCAGAAAAGAAATTGCATTAAGAACAAATACAGCGAAAGGTTGCAGAAAGCTGAGTGAAAGTGGGCGGCTGCAGAGGGAAACTGGCCGTCAGCTATACAAGATGTGTATAAAAGGCCCGACCAGGCACGTTCCTTGTCCAGGAGTGCAAACAAGTAAGCAAACAGGCAGGGGAACCAGAAACAGGGCGCCTTCGACATGAAATTCCCGATGAGAATACACTGGGGAAAATATGTAGTATATGTGCTTAAAGAGTACGTGGAACTTTCACACTGAATGCGTTTGTTGTCATATTTGAAATGGATAACGACGACTTTTGCTGAACATGGATGCTTAAAGCCGATGCAAGTAGTATTTTTTCCAGTGTGTTAATGGCCGTGGCTGCAGCAAACAAATCGCAAATTGAAAAAAGCAGATAAGTAGCAGAAGTTGCACCGCTGCCCGCTTTCTTTCTGCTTTCTCCCGCGAAAGGGTGGAGAAATGGGTGCAAAGAGAATGGCAAATAAAAATCAGGGACTCGGTTCGTGCTCCTGTCAAGGCAATTGCTCCCTGTTCCGGAGGAGCTCCTGCCACCGATCCCCCGATCCCCCAATTCCTGGCACTCCACCCAGCGCCTGGCAACATTGTTAACCCTGCAAGTTATGCATTCTTAATTTAATCGCAGGAATTGACTCTCCAGAGGCAGCTTCCTCTGGCTTAGCGGCTGGGTATTTTCCCCGGGCTCCGTTTTCCATTTTCCATTTTCCATTTTCCCGGCGATGGTAGGTTTGCAGCAGAGATTAGGCATATATCATGCGATTATACTGCATAGTTTGCCTTGCCCAATGACTCGGAAATCGCTTTTTCTTGCCTCAAACTCGGCGAGGATATTAAGTTGCAGACAACCCTTGAAAAGCGAAGAACACAACGGACTTCTAAGGGATCAAAAGGAAGCTAGAGCGGTGCTTACAAAGAAGATTTTACATAAAGGAATATTCAGCATGCCTTCAATTTGAGTGCTTTTACAATAACAAGTATTTATTAGGATGTCATAAATATTGTTACAGATGCTAATTAGTTATCCATAAGGCCTTGCAGGCACTTAAAGCTGCTTAATAGCATTTAAGATCCAAGGTTTCAGGTGAGCCACATTGGCGTAGACTCCGGGGAAGAAAGGATTTGCGCAGCCGTAGCCAAAGGAGACAATGCCAACCAGTTGGCCACCGGAGACGAGTGGTCCTCCGGAGTCTCCTTGACAGGAATCCTTTCCGAGAGCGGCGGCGCAGATCATGGCTTTGGTCAGGTATCGATAGGATCGCCGACAGTAATTCGGGTCTACTAATCCCACTGAGGTCTCTAATAGGAAAGAAGGTGATATTCCGAATAATCCGATTTCTCCCCAACCGGAAACAGAGGCTTTAGTTCCAGCTGCGGGTTCACTATCGGCCAGTGGGATCGGTCTTACGTTGGTATTAAAAATAAGACTGTCCGCCAGTCGAATTACGGCTATATCGTTAAAAAAATAGATTTTTTTATATTCTCGGTAGTCTTCATGCTTCCGTATTCCTGCAACCTTTACGTGTTGTCCTCCATCGAACTTATATTTTGATCCAACTCTGACGGAATAAAGTACATCAAAGGGACGGTCGAGACAGTGGGCTGCCGTTATAACGATCTTGTCGCTATAGATAACAGCACCGCAAATGTAATTGCCTGAATATAGGAGAGACGCCTGCCAGGGAACCTGTGAAATTTCCACAGGGTAGCCACCCACAATTCGCTCTGAAGAAGATCCTGCCGAGATCAGGGTGACACTGGTGACCAGAACAAGCCACTGGAGGAACATTTCGAACGCGACTAATGCCAAGAATGACTTCAATCCGGACTAGATGGCACTTTTAAAGGTTTCCGAGTAGCCCACTTGGAAGAGATAATTAGAAAAAGAATTTTAAATGGACATTTTACGAATAGCAAAATAAAAATCAGTAGTCACTTAAAAAATAGAAATTCCATACTGAAGTGGCCCATTTGGCACGTGCTCAGTAAATCATCCCAAGTCTTTGAATAGCACCATTTACCTAGACTCCAGAATAATTTGGATCTGCATATGGCTGAAGTATGTTATAAAATCCCAGCACAATGAAGTATTTCATTTTCTTCAGAGTTTATGTTATTCAAGCTTTATTTTACACATTACGTTTTCATATTCTTTGAATAGCGCTCAAAATCCAGGGCTTCAGCTCAGCCACGTTCGCGTAGACTCCTGGGAATTGTGGAAGAGCACACTCCGCTCCGAAGGACACGATGCCAACGAGCTGGCCACCGGAGACCAGAGGACCTCCCGAATCGCCGGTGCAGGCATCCTTTCCCGGTGCGGCGGCACAGATCATGTCCTTGGTGATTCGCTTTCCGTACGACCTACGACACTGATGCTGATCCACAATGTCCACCGAAACGCCCAGCAGGGACTTGGCCAGTTCCTTTTCATAGCCAATGGCTCCCCATCCCGAAACCGTGGCAGGAGCTCCACTAGCCGGAGAAGTATCGGCCAGGGGAATCACACTGACTCAACTTCCCAGCCTGATCTTGGACTGAAGCCTCATCACGGCTATGTCGTTGGACATGGTCCGGTGGTACTTCTCGTGTATCAGGAACCTAGCTACCCGCACCACCTGACCACCGTAGCGGGTGTACGATGAGCCGACTCTCACGGAGAGGTATTCGGAGTAGACTTTGGTGAGGCAGTGGGCTGCCGTTATGACGATGTCTTCACTGTAGATGGCTGCACCGCAAAAATGTTCTCCAAACCAAAGAATGGAAGCCTGCCAGGGAACCGATTGAATGGATATCGAGTCGCCACCCACAATTCGTTCCGGAATCCATTTAGAGGAAACCAGGGTGACACTTAAGATCGGGAAAATCCACTGCACAAACATTTCAACTAGAGCTGCACTTTCGAGTGGTCTTACCAAAGGTTGGGACCTTTTTTTATAGAAATACCATGGTGGAATGACTGCGAACATAGTTGCAAAAGAATGTTAATGGATATTTTAAGCAGCATACACTGAAATAAACCAATTACCGGAATATCTAAATATATAACACGCTCTAGGTGCTGAAATATTTATGAAATACTTTCTTGTAGTTATTATCTCTTGAGTCCTTAAAATAGGAATGTATTTTAGTTGTACCATGTACGAAATGCGACCAAATAAAAAAATATCGGAAAAAAAAGGAAACCAAAAGTAAACTTTGGTTTTGATTTCTAGCCGTATAAAGAAGTTAATATATTAATATTATAAGAAATCTGTTCAAAATATTTAATTTTTTTCACATTATTTTGTACACCAATTATCAGGGAAAAAATTGATTTTTGGGCAAATCAATGTAAAATAGTTCTTAAATTTGGATCAGATCTAAAAATATTTTTTTTCTTTTTATTTACAATCAGTAATAAGTAAATTTTATAATCTATATATAGCAAAAATATAGCATTTGTGTGTTTTTTGATAAAATTTTGATGTAAGCCCTTATAAAAAATGAGAAACTTTGACAACATATTATTTTCTATAGATCGGCTGGAAAGTAATAGGGATCGTTAGCTAATTAATTAGATAATTAGCAGTAGAAAACAGTCAACAGTCGGTTGGGCAAAACAACGAATTTTTGTATGCTTTCATGTAACTTTGTATCGGCAATGTAAAAAAACAACAAATGTAAAAACAAAAATTAAAAGAAATTAATCGTAATTGAAGTTTCCAAAGTAACCTTTTATAAACGTAAATGAACTCAATTTTTTAAGCTAAGCAAATTGTAGGTGTAACTTTATAGACCATATTTTCTATTCCTGAAAACCAAATTGTCTTATGTAAGATACTTACAAGAATCGTATACTATTTTGGACTTTATTGTTATTATTTGTTAAAACAAACTATGAAAGCTGTAACTTGAAAAGAGTACACACAATTTATGGTGCCTTTGACACATGCTGTGAATATTTATTTTATTGTATTGAGAACATTGCTAAACATGTTACGGAAAAGACTTGATAGCATTCAAAATCCATTCTCGGAAGTAGGGCACACTTGATACGAAACCTATTGAAATGCAATTTCCTCCGGAGACAACACCAACGAGTTCCTTATTAATTACCAATGGTCCTCCAGAGTCGCCAACACAAAAGGTTTTCTCATAATATCCAGCGCAAATTGTTGATTGACCATGGGATACTCCACAATTCTTAGACGATAGGATTTCGACGCTTGCTCCTCGAAGAGTAATGGGACTTAGGATCTTATTATCCGACGTGTAGGTATATCCCCAGCCAGCTATAAGGGCCTCTGTTCCAGGATATGGATTAGAATTGGCCAAAGGAATGGGGTGTACTTTGCTGGTAAACTTAAGTCTTTTACTTAATCGAACAACTGCGATGTCGTTTTTAATATCAAAGATGGGTAAATCTTGGTGAAAGTAATTTTCATGGGTTATTACGGCGGCCACTTTTAAAACAGTTCCGCCAGAAAGTTTAGAGATGGATCCAGCGCGAATTTTTAGCAGTCGGACATCTTTCCTGATTTGTTTATCATCAAAAAAGCAATGGGCCGCTGTTATGATAGTATCTTCACTGTAAATGGACCCTCCACATATATGTTGGCCTGATAATTGGATGGAAACTATCCAGGGATTATCTTCGATTTCGATGTGGCTACCATTGATAATGCGTTCTTCGGGTCGGTTTACTCGTCCTGCGGACAGGAAATTGAGCGCCAATAGTAGCAGAAAGCACTTGACGAACATCTCGACTAGTTTGGACGATACTTTTGATTGCAGTGGCTTTACCTACAAAAGAACAAGTCTTATATACCACTCGGATAGCTTATTCAGTTTGAAGTTACTTGCAAATGTTTATAAATTCAGAACAGAACAAAGTGAAAACTTTTCTAATTAGAAAATTCCAGCAATTCCTGCATACTTACTGAATAATTCAAAATCGAATTTCCCTAATTTAGGCTTAACAGAATTCCTATTATATCATTACAAACGTAAAGCATGCCTTAGCTTCAAATATTTCTAATATTCAAATATTTCTATCTGGGTCTTTACAAATATCTTTATCTTTATCTTTACAAACGTAAACTGTGCATGCCTTAGCTTCAAATATTTCTAATATTCAAATATTTCTATCTGGGTCTGATGTAGAAATTCAAAAAAATTAAAAAATGTCCCAAGGCTGAAGTTCTATACTCCATAACTCAACTTACCTTAATCGGATTTTGAAGTGGCATACCTCTAAATGTTTCTGGCGCAATTCTCTAAAAAACTGCATTCAAATTAAGAAATTTATATTTTTGAAATTTTTTTGTAATTTTTTGAATGTGATGATGTGTAGAACTTCATAAAAATTAAAAAATGTCCCAATGCTGAAGTTCTAAACTCCATAACTCAACTTATCTTAATCGGATTTTGAAGTGGCATACCTCTAATTGTTTCTGGCGCAATTCTCTAAAAATCTGCATTCAAAATAAGAAATTTATTTTTTTTTAATTTTTTTGTAATTTTTTGGATGTGATGATGTGTAGATATTCAAAAAAATTAAAAAATGTCCCAATGCTGAAGTTCTATACTCCATAACTCAGCTTATCTTAATCGGATTTTGAAGTGGCATACCTCTAATTGTTTCTGGCGCAATTCTCTAAAAAACTGCATTCAAATTATAAAATGTATTTTTTTGAAATTTTTTTGTAATTTTTTGGATGTGATGATGTGTAGATATTCATAAAAATTAAAAAATGTCCCAATGCTGAAGTTCTATACTCCATAACTCAGCTTATCTTAATCGGATTTTGAAGTGGCATACCTCTAAATGATTCTGGCACAATTCTCTAAAAAACTACATTCAAATTAAGAAATTTATTTTTTTGACATTTTTATGTAATTTTTTGGATGTGATGATGTGTCATCAAAAATTAAAAAATGCCTCAAGGCTGAAGTTTTATACTCCATAACTCCACTTATCTTAATCGGATTTTGAAGTGGCATACCTCTAATTGTTTCTGGCGTAATTCTCTAAAAATCTGCATTCAAATTAAGAAATTTATTTTTTTGAAATTTTTTTGTAATTTTTTGGATGTGATGATGTGTAGAACTTCATCAAAAATTAAAAAATGTCCCAATGCTGAAGTTCTATACTCCATAACTCAGCTTATTTTAATCGGATTTTGAAGTGGCATACCTCTAATTGTTTCTGGCGCAATTCTCTAAAAAACTGCATTCAAATTATAAAATGTATTTTTTTGAAATTTTTTTGTAATTTTTTGGATGTGATAATGTGTAGATATTCATAAAAATTAAAAAATGTCCCAATGCTGAAGTTCTATACTCCATAACTCAGCTTATCTTAATCGGATTTTAAAATGGCATACCTCTAAATGATTCTGGCACAATTCTCTAAAAAACTACATTCAAATTAAGAAATTTATTTTTTTGACATTTTTATGTAATTTTTTGGATGTGATGATGTGTCATCAAAAATTAAAAAATGCCTCAAGGCTGAAGTTTTATACTCCATAACTCCACTTATCTTAATCGGATTTTGAAATGGCATACCTCTAATTGTTTCTGGCGTAATTCTCTAAAAATCTGCATTCAAATTAAGAAATTTATTTTTTTGACATTTTTATGTAATTTTTTGGATGTGATGATGTGTCATCAAAAATTAAAAAATGCCTCAAGGCTGAAGTTTTATACTCCATAACTCCACTTATCTTAATCGGATTTTGAAGTACCATACCTCTAAATGTTTCTGGCGCAATTCTCTAAAAAACTGCATTCACATTAAGAAATTTATTTTTTTTTAATTTTTTTGTAATTTTTTGGATGTGATGATGTGTAGATATTCAAAAAAATTAAAAAATGTCCCAATGCTGAAGTTCTATACTCCATAACTCAGCTTATCTTAATCGGATTTTGAAGTGGCATACCTCTAAATGATTCTGGCATAATTCTCTAAAAAAACTACATTCAAATTAAGAAATTTATTTTTTTGACATTTTTTTGTAATTTTTTGGATGTGATAATGTGTAGATATTCATAAAAATTAAAAAATGTCCCAATGCTGAAGTTCTATACTCCATAACTCAGCTTATCTTAATCGGATTTTAAAATGGCATACCTCTAAATGATTCTGGCACAATTCTCTAAAAAACTACATTCAAATAAAGAAATTTATTTTTTTGACATTTTTATGTAATTTTTTGGATGTGATGATGTGTCATCAAAAATTAAAAAATGCCTCAAGGCTGAAGTTTTATACTCCATAACTCCACTTATCTTAATCGGATTTTGAAGTACCATACCTCTAAATGTTTCTGGCGCAATTCTCTAAAAAACTGCATTCACATTAAGAAATTTATTTTTTTTTAATTTTTTTGTAATTTTTTGGATGTGATGATGTGTAGATATTCAAAAAAATTAAAAAATGTCCCAATGCTGAAGTTCTATACTCCATAACTCAGCTTATCTTAATCGGATTTTGAAGTGGCATACCTCTAAATGATTCTGGCATAATTCTCTAAAAAAACTACATTCAAATTAAGAAATTTATTTTTTTGACATTTTTTTGTAATTTTTTGGATGTGATGATGTGTAGAACTTCATCAAAAATTAAAAAATGTCCCAATGCTGAAGTTCTATACTCCATAACTCAGCTTATCTTAATCGGATTTTAAAATGGCATACCTCTAAATGATTCTGGCACAATTCTCTAAAAAACTACATTCAAATTAAGAAATTTATTTTTTTGACATTTTCATGTAATTTTTTGGATGTGATGATGTGTCATCAAAAATTAAAAAATGCCTCAAGGCTGAAGTTTTATACTCCATAACTCCACTTATCTTAATCGGATTTTGAAGTACCATACCTCTAAATGTTTCTGGCGCAATTCTCTAAAAAACTGCATTCACATTAAGAAATTTATTTTTTTTTAATTTTTTTGTAATTTTTTGGATGTGATGATGTGTAGATATTCAAAAAAATTAAAAAATGTCCCAATGCTGAAGTTCTATACTCCATAACTCAGCTTATCTTAATCGGATTTTGAAGTGGCATACCTCTAAATGATTCTGGCATAATTCTCTAAAAAAACTACATTCAAATTAAGAAATTTATTTTTTTGACATTTTTTGTAATTTTTTGGATGTGATGATGTGTAGAACTTCATCAAAAATTAAAAAATGCCTCAAGGCTGAAGTTTTATACTCCATAACTCCACTTATCTTAATCGGATTTTGAAGTACCATACCTCTAAATGTTTCTGGCGCAATTCTCTAAAAATCTGCATTCAAAATAAGAAATTTATTTTTTTTTAATTTTTTTGTAATTTTTTGGATGTGATGATGTGTAGATATTCAAAAAAATTAAAAAATGTCCCAATGCTGAAGTTCTATACTCCATAACTCAGCTTATCTTAATCGGATTTTGAAGTGGCATACCTCTAATTGTTTCTGGCGCAATTCTATAAAAAACTGCATTCAAATTATAAAATGTATTTTTTTGAAATTTTTTTGTAATTTTTTGGATGTGATAATGTGTAGAACTTCATCAAAAATTAAAAAACTGCATTCAAATTATAAAATGTATTTTTTTGAAATTTTGTTGTAATTTTTTGGATGTGATGATGTGTAGAACTTCATCAAAAATTAAAAAATGTCCCAATGCTGAAGTTCTATACTCCATAACTCAGCTTATCTTAATCGGATTTTGAAGTGGCATACCTCTAAATGATTCTGGCACAATTCTCTAAAAAACTACATTCAAATTAAGAAATTTATTTTTTTGACATTTTTATGTAATTTTTTGGATGTGATGATGTGTCATCAAAAATTAAAAAATGCCCCAAGGCTGAAGTTTTATACTCCATATCTCAGCTTATCTTAATCGGATTTTGAAGTGGCATACCTCTAAATGATTCTGGCACAATTCTCTAAAAAACTACATTCAAATTAAGAAATTTATTTTTTTTTAATTTTTTTGTAATTTTTTGAATGTGATGATGTTAGAACTTCATAAAAATTAAAAAATGTCCCAATGCTGAAGTTCTATACTCCATAACTCAGCTTATCTTAATCGGATTTTGAAGTGGCATACCTCTAAATGATTCTGGCACAATTCTCTAAAAAACTACGTTCAAATTAAGAAATTTATTTTTTTGACATTTTTTTGTAAATTTTTGGATGTGATGATGTGTCATCAAAAATTAAAAAATGCCTCAAGGCTGAAGTTTTATACTCCATAACTCCACTTATCTTAATCGGATTTTGAAGTGGCATACCTCTAATTGTTTCTGGCGCAATTCTCTAAAAAACTGCATTCACATTAAGAAATTTATTTTTTTTGAAATTTTTTTGTAATTTTTTGGATGTGATGATTCAAAAATATTAAAAAATGTCCCAATGCTGAAGTTCTATACTCCATAACTCAGCTTATCTTAATAGGATTTTGAAGTGGCATACCTCTAAATGTTTCTGGCGCAATTCTCTAAAAAACTGCATTCAAATTAAGAAATTTATTTTTTTGAAATTTTTTTGTAATTTTTTGGATGTGAACTTCATCAAAAATTAAAAAATGTCCCAAGGCTGAAGTTCTATACTCCATAACTCAACTTACCTTAATCGGATTTTAAATTGGCGTACCTCTAAATTACCTCAATAACCTCAATTCTCTAAAAATCTGCACTCAAATTTAGAAAATTTTTTAATTACATTTTTTACTCGTAGAGTAAAAGGGTACGTTAGATTCCTTGAAAAGTACAGGAACTGCGAAAGCTAGAATGTTGAGATTAAGCATGCAGCTTTCAGAGACATAGACGCAGCGCAAGTTTGTTTTCAAATATTGCCACGCCCACAAACCGCCCAAAACTGTCACGCCAACAATTATGAAAATTAAAAAAAAAATTTTTTTTTTATATATTGTAAATTTCTTTAGATTTGTAAAAAAAACTTTTTGCGACACCCACTGCAATTAAAAAATCCTGCGGAACCGTGGTTTTCACATATTGCAGCGCATGCATATTTTTGAAACACTGTTGAACAGCTCTTACTCGTATATTGATTTTCTATAATATTATGAAAGCTAAAAGCTTGCCACAAGTTAAGCTATTTAGAAAATAAATAATAGATAACCGAAACGTAGGTTATAACCACACTTACCAGCAACTTTTAAGTGAAAAGATAAGTAGTCCATAAACTTACTGACTTATATGCCCTTACTATTTGACACCATATTTGGCACTATAAAAGACTGGCGCGATTTTCAGTTAAAACATCTGAAACAGAAGTCAAACAACTCGATAATGTGCTTGAAGCTTATACTGTCTTTATCCATTGCTGGCCTGGTTTCCGCTGCTCAGATTCCTGGGCCAGAGGAACGGATTGTAGGAGGTCACTTCATTCCCATCGAATATGTGCCTTGGCAAGTGTCGGTGCAAATTTTTTCGAATCATAAATGCGGTGGAGTCATCTACAGTGATCGTGCTATTTTAACTGCTGCTCATTGCCTTCGTGATGTAAATATTACGGATCTATCAGTTCGCGCTGGATCTTCGCATTGGAGCAAAGGTGGTCAGGTGCTAAGAGTGTTGAATGCCATTCCACATCCAAAATACCTGTATTCTGACTATCCGTATGATATTGCTGTACTGATTTTGGAGGCCCCTCTCAAACTTGGTGGCGCAGTAAGGAAAATTTCTTTAGCCGAAAAGACTCCAGAAGATGGAACAATTACTTTGGTCTCCGGATGGGGAGATACTCTAGAAAACTCTTCATTCCCATGGCCAATACTGCATGGCGTCCACGAAACTATTCTAAATAGAATGGAATGTCAGAAAATCTATAGTTCATTAACTAAATTAACTAACGACATGATCTGTACCCACGGACCCGGAAGAAGTGCTTGTAGAGGTGATTCTGGTGGCCCTTTGGTTGAGATGGAAACTAGGAAACTTATTGGTATAGTTAGCTGGGGATTCCGTTGTGGTACAGCTCCGGGGGTCTACGCAGATGTTGCATTCTTCCGCAACTGGATTAAGTATACAGTTCAAGAAAATATTTAGAAAATGATTGTCAAAATATACTATTAAGTCTATGTATTTTTTCATTTTTGAATACCTTGTAAATTTCACTTTTAAAAAATGTTTACTTTTTTATTCATTATTTATTCCGCAATTTCTACCGATATTCCAGAAAATGTTGAAATTTCTCGTTTACACTTCCACTACCTGAGTAACGGGTATCTGATAGTCGGGGAACTTGACTATAGCATTCTATCTTGTTTTCATTATAGCCATGCTCATATGGTAACCTCAATCAGTTTTAAAAATGATAACAAAGTGTTTGTTATAACAAGTGTTAGATTAAATTCCATTATGATTTTCCGCAACAACTGAGCACCCCCACAGCCCAGTTACGAACTTAATTTAAAACCTGTATCTCGAAATTTGGTAATATGTATATTGCTCCCTTGAATTGATTTGTTCTTCATCAATAAATGCATTGTGCTTCCGCTGACACTGACTTGCCTGTCGGCAACACACAATTGCATTAATCATACGCCCCGTGGGGTGCATGGTGTTGTACTCGAAGTGCCATCACACATTTCCTCCACTTCCTGGCGCCCGGAGCATCCATCAAATTAATGGAATTTCATATTTGCATGGCTCTTGTTCGCCCGCCAAAGAAATTTGTTTATCCAGCTAAAATGCTATCGAGTTCGAAGCCCCACCCCCTCAACGCGCCCCATGTAGTTAGTTCTTCGGGCCGAGCGTGGCTATTACTTTTTTTGTTGATATTTTTAATAGAATTACTTTCCAGACTTTTGAGCAGCATAGCTGAAAGTGGCCAGCGGACATGGAGCTCCAGGCAACGGACAAAAGCAATTTAAAACGCTGACTCATAACCGATGTGGCCGCAGAAACAAGTTTGTTTAAAAATTTTATTGAATTAAACCAATTTGGTATGCAAGTGGGGCGAACTCTCGTTGGGATTAGGATTCTATTTTAGTACAGACGCACTGGGAAAGTCGGATAAGTTCACAGTTTGCGCTGATTTTGTAAGAACATGGCGTCTGTGAACATTTCAAGCGGTTTCTTTCAAATTTCATTTCATTTTCTCTCAGTGCAGCTTAAATTCCAAGCACGTTTCACCCACGCAGTTCGATGTTTTAAACGCTTTTCCGGCCAAAATTCGCATAGAATGCAATCAGATAGTCATGCACTTGGCGCTTGGTCAAAATGCCCACGGGCCCTAATCCTTGTCAACAACTATCGCCTTCTGGGGTCGAGGTGAGAACGCTATTTGGGGGAGTTGGCAGGGGCTGGCAAATGGGAAATGGGAAATGTGAAATGGGGAGCAGATACGACTGCCCCGGGGGTAAGTTAAGCTAATTTCGCCAGGCGCTCCATCGAAGGCTGGCTGTTCGGCCGGCAAGTCAAGTGGCCCGCTCCAAGTGAGCAATGCACTCGCCCAATTAAACCCGACCGGAATCCGGCCAAAGCCCTTGACGTGGCTGCAGATGGGAGTAACTGACGGGAGTGGTCATTACTCATGGTTATGGATACTAATCGCATGCACTTGGAAAAGCATTCGCATCTGAAGGATTGCATATCTGGCTGCCTCAGATTTATATGCGGTGCAGCTTTTTTAAATAACTTCCTAAGTATTATGAAATATCTTTAAGTTACTTCTGGTTCATGCCTTAAAATATTTCCCAGCCATAGCTTGGATTGGCCCGTTCTCTAATCCTTGTATCTGGTATGCAAAATTTCAGTGCAGGCGGCAATTGAATGATAACACAAGCAGCAGCTGCACCGTTAAAACTAAATTGGCGACCAAACGACTGCATGTCTGCTGCTCCCCACTGCCCACTGCCCACCACCCACTGCCCATTTTCCGCTGTCCATGGAAAACGCCCGTCGGAATCTGTGGGCATTTTTGGCAGCAAATTGAAATGAAAATCTCGCCGCGGTTTTCTGGCTTTGTTCGCCGCTTGGCCAGCGGATGAAATCTGGTGCCGGGCTGATAAAGAAGTCCTGGGAAAGGGGAGTCCTGGTTGGAGTTTAGTGTCAGGAGAATTCCAAACAACAACCGAGGGAATTATTAAGACTGTTTTATACTGTTTTGGTAATAAAACTTAAGAAATATTGAATTTAAGTAAGCAATATGCGCTTATAATCATATTTCTAGTGCTTTAGTAGCACCACCAACCCATATAGGAATACTTTAGGGAATTGGTTTTGCGGAACAGCCTCCACAATCCCCCTAATAGCCCTTTCCCAGCAGCCCGGCAATCTGCGATCTATTCATATCGTAAAATACAAATGCAACTGCGACCAAAGCACCGCAAAACTATTGCCAGCGACGGCGATAGCGATGGCTTCCTATTCGCAGGATATACGCAGCCATTTCCGGCGCCATAGCTGCCAGCTTCCGCTTCACCTTCTACCACCCAACCCCCGGGGCACTTTGATGGGGGCGCCCCGAGCTGTCGGGAAATCCACCGTCTGATCCCACTTTCCACTCAGCTCTCATACCCTTTCCCTCAATCGTCTGGCAAACGCAGGCTTGACTTTAAGCGATGGAAATTTGAATGCGCCAATGCGCAATTTATGATTATTTCATGCTCATTTTAATTTGCCCATTCAGCAGACCGCTTTAAAGTGGCGGGCAGAAAGGGCGTAGTGCTCGGGTTGCAGCTGCTGGAATGAGATAGCGGCAGGGCCTCATTAATTCCATGCACGTTTTCCCAGGAAAAGCGGCGGGGAAATGCGGAGACCGCTAATAAAACAAAAATGGAAAACATATAAATCAGTGTCCTTGGCACGTGTCGCTGTCCCTGTCGCTGTCGTCGTCGAAGTCATTGTGCTTCCCAGGTGTAGGCCCCGTGGGTCAACCCAAAAGGATCTTCGCCCCAGCATCGGTTCCTCGCATCCTTGGCATCCTTGGCATCCATGGTATCCCCATTCGCATTACCACTTTTGGACTTGTGCGCTGTCACGTTGTGAATCTCACGAGGGCCTGCACACGCGGAGAAACAGGGAATCCGAATCTCAGCGTCGGGGAGAAGACGATACATGCGTGCTGCTACACTGGGAAAAATATCGAGAGCAATTAGTGCTGAGTACCTAGCATATAAGCGGATGTGATGCAAAGCAATGTTACCAACCTTTATTAAGCTATTGAAGCTGAAAACATATGGATGATCTTCCTATGTCTAAGCTTTCTTTCAGTGCATTCCAAGAGACAGGAGGGCTACCACGGAGGCGTTAGGCAAAATGGAGCTGTAAAGGGTTTGCCCCTTTGGGGTTGTCCTCAATTCCAATAGGAGCCGATTTCAGCCAGTGATTGCATTATAAATTAAAATACGTCAACGCAGCGAATCAACAGCTGCTATCCTTGCCAGGACACTCGGAAAAGCCACCACATGCCAAGCATTAAGCATGAGATATTCACGCGGTGCATTAGTTGTCACTGTTTTTCCAAGGGGAAAATGTTTAAATTTAAATAAGAGCCCAGCCATTAGTGCCAGAAATAAGAGAGTGCGGCATTTTACATGTTTATAGCTTACAAAAGTTCAGGTGGTCATAAAATAGCAAAAAGGGAGCCGAGGAAAATGTGTAGAATTCGAGGGCATGTAGTATCTGTGTGGCGCAACCATTGGCTTTTTAATTAAACGCTGGCAACTGAGGCAATGTGCAATGGCAGAATCTCGAAATGACAAACAGAACCGAGCAGCTCACAAAGCGAGCCAATACAAATATTGTTTTCCCTGGGTTTCGGCATTTTTACGATACATTCGCTTCAAGGATACCAGGATGCCAGGGAAGAAAGGTTCAAAGTCGTAGCAACTGTTATTTGTCCGCTCATGCGGAGTATTTAATTGCATCCCAATGGAGCGCACTTGGGAAAGTGCAACGAGAATCGGTAAACAGCAGTGGAAACTGGAGGAAAAGCGGTGGTAAAAGCAGGGAAAAGTTGCAGTGGGTTGAAGTGGGTAATCGAAATTTCGCCTGGTGCTTCTTTTCAAGCAGACAAAGTTGGAAAAGGGCGAAAAAGTGGCGGATGCAGAGGGCAGGACTCTGCTTTCGCTCTCGAGGGGTACACAACTATTTGCCAGAGTAAACAAATATTTACATATGTTTGTTGAAATTTCATGCTTCGCCGAGTCCTTGCATTTCCTTGACAGTTTCTTTGTGAACTTTCCGGTTTTGACAAATTAGTTGGGGCGAAGTCAGCTTTTCAGGTGGGTAGTGCACAATGGAGTCATGTTCTGTCTTGGCATGAATTGAATAATCCAATCATCTCACAGATTTCTCCCCTATATTCAATTACCAAAGAAAACCACTTTGATCGCATCAAAAGCTTAACGAAACCCATTAGATTTCACTTCACCTAATTCACCTAAGACCTGTGGCCCACATCATAATTTAACTTTTCATCTGCTAGACCTAAACGTTGAATCTGGATTCCGGGGCCAGAGTTTTGCCACTCTAAGCGGAAATTGTGAAATAAATTGAAATGCAAGGCAGGCACATAAATTATTTGCCAGTCAACAGCTGAGGCAAATAAATAAAAATGGAAATGCATTTTTTGGTCAGATCCTCAAGCTCGGGACATGTCTCGTTGGCAAGTCCATAAAACTATCAGCAAATTTCGGTAGAATTAAAATATTTATGCACTGTACGTGTGCCACATGTTTATGTGTCCCTAGCTGCATTTTCCATTTTCCATTTTCCATTTTATATTTTCCATTTCCCTCTGTTTTGTTTTCCTTCTCTGGCAACGCAGCAGCATGATTTGTTTATTGTTTTAATAAACGTCAGCAATTTTCTTGGGCTTTTAAAGTAGCATTTCGAACAGGCTACATGTGCGTATGATTAATGTGGCATTGTCAACTGAATTAAAAAAAAGAAATACTCTTCGCTCTTGCGCTGCAAACTAAATGGAAAACGCAAAGGGCAAAGGGAAAATGGAAACTTTCAATGCAACCAAATGCAATGCCACAATGATTTATGGGCCAACTTGAAAATGGACGATTGTTTCACCCGCTTTTGGGGGTTTGGCATCGCATGGAAATTGTGGAAATTGGCGGGATTTTGGGGGCGGTGGGGGCGGGTCCCGTGGTGCTTATGGCCATCGCCATTTATTTAAAACGTACGCGAACATCGAATCGTGCTGCGATTTTCCCGATTGGAAAAATTGAATTATACCCATTTGATGAGCTCAATAAAAACTGGCAGCTGCCTTTGCCAATGAAGGCAAAGTTCGGTTAAAAAGCAGTGTAAGTTTTGGACAGCCGTCATGAGTATTATGAGATTAAGGCTTATGATTGTTTTTTCCCCCAGCTTAAATCGCCATTTCCAGCTGTTGAATAAAGTTTTAAATCCAGTGCCATTCAGCTGGTTTCAGCCGTCGCCACATACGCACTTTTCACATTCGCTTAACTCGCCGGCGGAAAATTTCCACCGCCGATTGACGCGATAGCTTTTAGCCAAGTTCATTGCATGAGAAGGCAAAGCCAATAAAAAGGGCGAAACGAAACAGCGCCATTTAGCCGGAGGCAAGGCGATCTCCATGCCACTGTAACTCGCTCAATTGAATAGACAAAGGGGGGCACTCAGATGTGGCGCCCCTTTCAACATCCACTCCTTGCAGCCCCTCCACTCCCCCTGCGCAGGAGGTGGCATTCCGAACAGGCGCTCAGAAATCGCAGACAGGTGCCCGGAATTCAGCCGAAAAGGATGGCGGCACAGTGACAGCGGATTGCAGGGGATCAGGGGAGCCCAATCGGGGGTTATTACACTGCGACAAATACTGTGAGTGTGCCTGACCATTGTCCCTTTTAAACTATTATAACAGCTGGTATGTAATGGTTATCCAGGAGTCTCATTTGTTGAAACATAACATCCCAAGTACGCTTGTGGGTTTATATGGATTTATATGGAATTTGTATTGAAAACCCGAGTGTAGTGGTGGCTTAAAGTAGCAGCCAGCTGAGGGGCAGAGTCCTGAAGTTTGGCGACGGCGGCCACCGTTAGTAATCCACTTTTTCGTCCTGCTCCTCCTGCGCCTCCTGCCGCCTCCTGCTGCTTTTGCCTTCGTTTGGGCCGCAAACATTTTAGCTTTTATGGCCGAAAGGCGCAAAATATGACTGCCAGCCAGACTTTGTCGGCGCACACATGCAAATGCAATTTGCAAACATTTTTCCGCCAAAAAGTCGTGCATGAGAACGAACCCAAAATCGTTCGTTGTTGTAGTTTTAAGTCGCTCGATGCCAATCCCAAGCCCAAAAACAAATTGGGAAGGGGCGGCGGAGATACTCGTATTCACAAAAAACTTTTCGCTTTGCCATAAACCGATTTGGTAGCAAATTTTATGTCGTTTAGATGGAAAATTTCCATTTGACTGAACTTCGCGGGTATCAGGGAGCTCAAGTAGCTCAGATCGAGCTTTGTTTGCTCGATTTTTCAGTGACTTATTTCCGCTGTTGCATTTTATCGCTAATTGACATTACCGAGGGTCAAAGGCAACTGGAATGGCATTCGACTAATTGAATTCCGGGTGGGCGGTAAGTGGAATGGCGGGAAAGGTATTCATTAACCTTTGGCACTTTGTTAATGGATTTAATGTGTAAGTGATACTAAGCGGTGTGGAATGTGAAGTTTATAAGGTTTGAAAACGAGTTAAATACTTACTCTGTGCGACTGAAGGATTATTAATAATGAAATTCAGAAATTTGTTTTCAAAAAAAGTACAGTAATTGGCAGCAGATAAGATTGTTTGGCTTCAAGTTCTGAATGCCTTTTTAACCTTATTAGACTTGTAAAAACTGCACATGTTTTTTGCATGCATTTTTTGTGTGCTACTTCCCCAGCACCAAAACATGGCCAATTCGCATCAATGGGAATCGGAATTAAAGGCAGTAACCGTATGTGCAATCGAGTGCATCCGGCATCGGATGCCGTGTGGTTGATGGAAATGTGAGCCTGTTTGTCCAGATACCAGATACCATATACACCAGACCCCACATCTATGATGCCCGTATGCTTGAAAGGAGAGTGCGAGTGTATTTATTCTGCGTATGGCGCGCACTGTACCCTCCACTCGACCAGCAATGCATAAATAAACGAAACCAAATTTGCGAAATTAATTAAATCGACAGCAAAGTAACGTGTGCGCTTTGCGTTTTACGCTTTGACTGCGGCCAGCTTACAACCCAAACAATTCGGCCACCCAGCCACACATTTTCCAACATTTTCCGATGCCACCGAAATTGTGAATTGTGCATTGTGCGGATGACGCGGCTGTGCATCGCTTTTCTGGCAGAGGCCATGGAAAGCTGAAAGCAGCGAACAGGCTTAAAGTTTATTACAATATTACCAGCATTTCTGGAAGCGGCTTAAATGGAGCCGCTGTCTAGTAAAACCCAATCAACTCAATAAATACTTCCATTTAAAAGCTGTGTAGATTCACAGCAAATGAATATAACACATGAAATGGTTCGTATTAATTGAATTGAACCTATACGATTTCATTGGCATTGAAATAATTATTTATTACCAATTAATGCAATTGGCTTGTAATGCGTAAGCGCTGTTTCCCATTAATACTTATTTAAGGTAGCTGCTTGTTTCAGCCAACTCTAAGCCCATGGCCGACTACTGAAGTACTTATACACAAATCCCCATAAATCAATGAGCTAGGATATAATTTAGTGCCTGCTACATGAGTATATGAAACGCAATGCTGCGACCCCGCAGGATAATTCCAGCGAGTCTGCCTGTCCTGCGGCTGTATCCGCCTATCTGTACATCGGAGCATCGGCTTAATCTCTGCCGGGAGCAGCGACATCGGCCGGTCCATTGATTTGCATTTGCACAACTCATTAGGGATTCACACTTGAGCCCCTTCCCCCGCAGCACACACACACACACACACTCACGCTTAAATAATTTAATATTCAGAGTGTTTCGACATCGAAATTTGCACTTCGATGGCCTGCGCTGCGGGCGTTTGATAAGCGGCCTCCATGTTGGCCAACTCCCATTATCCAGCCCGTTTCAGCCGGCAATTAATGGCACTCCAATTGCCCGATTTGCCTGTACCATATGGCTGGACTGCGAAAGAATGGCCGGCTCATTAATAACCAAGCCCAAGGACATGCATCACTCATACGTCACGTTGGTTAATCCCACTCGCAGATGCAGAAGAAGGATGTGTGATACAGTCTGTCTAATTTCCGTCAATGAATGTGCTCGTCACCCACAGCCTGTGTTTGCGGTATCAATCACAATGCTAATGCCGATGTTTAGGCCACATTATGAGGCGGGTCGAAAGGGTTGTCGGCTGTAAACAAACATCGTGACTGATGGGTGAGTGACTTAGAGCTCAGCGATAATTTTAATAGACTGCCTTGTATACAATAAATTTTGCGAGCGTAATCTTATCTTAAAAATGGTTGATCAAGCTAGCGAGCCTAAAAAGTCATTAAGTATACGTAAATCTGGTTAACTAAATCAGGGCGCCAGCCAATCCCCCAAAAAATATGGCCAAGAGAACCGTAGCGCCCATACCCAAAACCCACGAGCGCACTCCAGGTCCCAGGGGTCAGGATACCAAGGGCAACAACGAGCTCTTCCTGAAGGAGGTCTTCAATACCACCAATAAATATCGGGCAATGCACGGTTGTCCGGCTGTGACCATTAATGCTGAGCTCAACAAATTGGCTCAGGAATGGGCTAATGTAGGCTGAGGGAAATAGAGCTAACTATATTGTATAATAATTTGGACAATTTCCAGCATCTCCGGGATCAGAACACCATGGCGCACAGGCCCAATCCCAAGTACGGCGAAAACATTTTCCTCTCCGGCGGAATGGATGTGACCGGAGATCTGCCAGTGGAAATGTGGTATCGGGAAATCAATAGCTACGACTTCACCAAGGCTCAGTTTGTGCCCACCGCAGGACACTTTACTCAGCTCGTCTGGAAGTCCTCGACGGAAATGGGCTCGGGTGTGGCCCGAAAGTGAGTCTCCATGTCCTATATGGTAATCCTATTCATATATGTACTCGTATTCCCATAGAGCGGACAGAACTTGGGTGGTTTGCAATTACAATCCTCCCGGCAATGTTGTGGGTTTGTTCAAGGACAATGTGCCCCCCAAGCAGTAATCACAGAATTCTTTTTAATCAAAATCTTAAGCATAATAAATACGTAATCAGGGTCCAGTATTTTTCTTTATTTAGTATGGCTAGCTTTTCTAGTTTCCTCCGCAACCAAATCCGATTTAGGTAGAAGGAATTTTCTAGGCAGGACATTCTCCGTAAAGTGATCGCTTACATTTCCAGGCGGGTTGTAATTGCAAACAATCCAAATGGAGGAAACACTGCATGAAAAATTAAGTTAGTCTCAGAGTTTTGTTTGTATGACTTTAGATTATAAACGCACTCGCATGCCACGCCCACTCCCAGGAACTCCGTCTGCCTCCAAACCAACTGGCTAAAATGCCCAGTGTACAAATCAAAGCCGGGCTTCAAGTAATCGTAGTTGTACTTTTCCTGGTACCACAGTTTTAGTATTTGCTGCACGGAGAAATTGGATCTCCGGACACACATTATATTCTCGCCATAAAGCGGAGTAGGTCGAGTTTCCAGTGTATTTTGATCAGCCAATTGCTGGGGGAATCAAGTTTAAATAAATTTGGTTAGGTTTCACAGTTCCAATGCGTATATAGTAATAATTGAACCTACATCTGCCCACTCCTGTGCATAGGAACACAGTTTCTCATCCATTTTCAGGGGCTTGGCGTTGTGGAGCCTTCGGTACTTATTGGTTTCTCTTAGTATAGCTTGTTTTATGGGCCTAGATCGAATTTTGGGCATTTTGTATTCTTCAAATTCGTTTAACCGAGAATTGCTATGCTGTTTAAGCTTTCCGGACTGAATGGAAGTCCTGGAAAATGTTTTGCACTTGGGAGCCGTGCATTGTATGCATCTTTTACCGTGGGACCAATGCCACGGGGACTCGTTATCCTTTTCCTTGTTAAGTGAAAATTGTACTGGCAGAGACCTCGTAGAATTTTTTCTGGACTGTGAGCTTTGGACCTCGCAGGCCAGACAGTTCCGGGAATTATGGTAAATCTTAATGGGCTTACGGCAAAAGGGAGCAAGGCAGCTGCGGCACTTTTCCAAATCGCGATGGCTGGAATCGCAACCAATAAACGTAACGTCATTGTGCTGAATTAATTGGAAAGGACATTTCTCTGGCGACTGGGCGTCTTTCTTTTCATTCTCCATTTCATTTTATGTATTCATCGTAATTTCGGGAATTTTGTAAGTGTAAATTATTTTGGAATGAAGTAAAAGAGACTGGTGGCTGGTGCCATATTTTCCTAGACATTCCGCCCTTTCCACCCCACTTTACTCTGGCTTCCCTTTTTTATTAATATTAATTCAGTTTTTTCGTTTATTTTCGCGACAATTTCGCGTCACACATCATTAATTTTAAATTCCCGCCATAAATATCAACGGGGCGTGTATGAGCAGCGGGTGGTGACGGGTCACAAAGGTGTCAAGGTGAAATTATGGCAGCAACAAGCGCCTCTCCCCGTGACCTATGACCTCCCCTGAGTTAGCCTGCTTTTTGATTGACTGTTTGTCACTTGGGCATGAAAATTAAAATGGAATTTTTTACGCCCGGAGTTTGGGGTCGGTTTTTTAGCGGACTGTTGTTGAATTGATGGAGATAAAAATATTTATGATTAAATTTTCATCAATGATTTGGAGCTCAGATCGTTAGGCTTATTGCACTTTCGTAATGAAAATGTAATAGATGGCAACTTTTCATATAAAGTCACACTGCAGCAATTGAAATCAAACAATTGACTTTGAAATTGCTAGGGAGTGTAGATTGTTAGAATGTTTAAAATGTCACTAACCTTGCCCTTTCAAATCTCTGTGAAATCAGATTGCCGATGTTCTGCTGCATTGATTCGTAGAACCCTAATATTTTCCGACTTGCCACTTTCCGTGCGGCAGGAGCTCTATGTTGTAGACCCGTAACCGTAACCGTTAACCCAATAAACCACTTTTGGGGGCGACAGGAGAACGGCATGCGACTTTCGCTGTTGGCTTCAGTTTCACACCGTCAACAAGTGACGAGCACACCATTGCAAATATCCATAGGCACACAGACAGATACGTATACGTAATACGTGTTACTGGCATCACGTCAAAGTTGGTTGGCGTGATGCCACAGAAATTCCAGCAGGCTGCAACAAAAGCGAGTCAACTGAAATGGGGTAACAGTCAAAACAACAGCATGAAGATTGGTAAAATTTAAATTCACGCACACACACACATAGTCGCAGCCAAATCCCAGCAGGAAGAAAACGTGATCATAAGGGCTGCCCCAAAAAGTATACTATGAATTTTTATGGCGCATTTTCGGGTTTTTTTAATTTCCACAAGCTAGCACAAGAGGAAAAGGAACCCTCTGGTGATGTACGTGATGGTTCCATATATTGCACTACTGAACCCATGACCTCCCGGAGGTTACAAAGGTACTTTTTTAATCGTGCGTCACCTAGGTCCGAAAATAAATATGCTAAAATGTAATTAATTTTTACAATTTTTCATTTTTTGTATAGAATTATGAGTTAGTATTGACCTACAATAGTATATTAAATTAGTTGCGGTTTTGCCTGATGAAGCTCGGGTAAAAAGGTAATTCTGTCATATATTAATTTCAGAAATTTGTGGCATAAAATGCATTTGGCTTTAATATTATAATTTCAACTCTTGAGGGATTAAGCCGCATTTACCACTTAGTTTCCGCAGCCGTCACACAGGACTCTTTGTGCCATTGTACACCTCGTCGAATAGTTAAATGCGTTCAACTGTCAAAAAGCCGCAGACAAAAGTTCAATTTAATTACCACAAAAGAAAGTGGGCCAACAAAAGGTGTGCCATTTCCATGGGGAGCCCAAAACTTCGGATCGCACTGTCTGCCAATGAATCCTACCGACTGCCAATGAGTTTTACAATGTAATTAAGCAGACAGGGGAACTTATTTCTCTTCTCCCCCACCCCCCTTTTGCCCATTAACCCGGGGTAAATGAGGTCAGGGGGCGTGGCAGGAGGCGGAGGCTGTGGGGCAGGCACCGAATGTCGAAGGGCGAAGGAAGATCCTCTCGGTGAAAGCTTTCTTCGTTATGCATTGTAATTTGCGTGTAATTTTCAAGGCGTTGGGAAAAACGTGGAAATGCTTCTGCAACAACAGCGGCAATAATAATTGCAACTGCAACAACAATAACAACAATTACAACACCAACAACATGAACAGAAACACCTGCAACAACAAGAGCAGCTGCTTAAAGGCAAAAGTCTCATTTATTTTAATGTGTCGACGCTGACGACGTGCAAATGTCTGCCAGTTTTCCAGCAGGTTTTTCCCTTCAGTTTTTCCCTTCGCCAGCGAATTTCCCATGTTCAAATTGCACGCAGATGCAGCGGCCATTGTTTGTCAGTGTGTGTGCGCGTGAGAGTGTGTGTGTTGTAATTATTAAGCTGACAATGCAGATGCTGCTCTTCCCGCTGATTTGAGTTGCAGGGTTGCAGTTCAGCCGATTTTAAACCGATCCAGGTAAAAATCCGGGATCAAAATTCTTGGCAAATGAAAATTAAATTTTAAAATGCGCCAATGACCAGAATTTGTTAATTGGTTTCGCAAAAATCCATTATAAGTAGATGGCCGTTTTAAAACAGCCTCCTGATCGCCGCCTGCAGCCCTGGCTTTAGTGGCTCTGTAATCCGCTGTGGGTCAAACCCCTCAAGGCTCATGGCTGACAACGGTCATAACAATGCCAATTTTAATGGCCATTACAATGAGGCTCATAACCATAAAAAATGCACAGCCGTCCAGAGAGAAAGAGAGCTGGAACCAAAATGAGAACAGCGCGGGGAATCATGAGCATTTATTGGGCTTATGGGCCGTATTAATAATGTTCATCTGTGCCGTTCTCTCCCAATTCATAGAAAAAATGCAAATGAATTAAATTTCAATTTCGCAGTGAGTGCAGCAAATAAAAAATGTGTGCGTGTATGGGTAAGCGAAAACAATTTGCAATATTTTGTGTTGGCCAATTGTGCGGGGATTTCACTGGGGATTTTTGAACTGTATACATGAAAAGGTGGTGCTTACATTGATCTGCTAAAAAGTAAAGATTCCTAGCCTATTTTAAAGATATTCATTAGCTTGGCGGTGGCATCAATCCACACTTTGAGCATAGGAATATTGGCATATATAGTAGATTCTTTGATGACGTCACAGGCACTTTCCCAGGAAAGGATTCCGTACAGTAGATTATTGGCAACCAAGGGAGCGCCAACAAATTTTTGACAGGCGTGGGGAACTTTTCCCGTGGGAGCTGCGCACATCTCGTCCAAATGGATAAGTCTGCCCTTTAGAGCATGGTCCGTCGCGCATTTCAAATGATCTTGCATGCGCACATCGACCCTCAGCAAAACTGCCGTTGAAGGATTCAGGGCAGAGAGATGTCCCCAGCCCGAAACGGAGGCATTTGTTCCAGGACGCGAAGTGCTGGCCAAGGAAATGGTCTGAACATCGCCGCCCAAGTACAGTGGGTATCTCAGCTGAAGTAAGGCCACATCACTCCGCCGTAGACCAAGAACCTGCAGCCTCATCTTTCTGACCGTCAGCACGCTACCTCCGGCGTTTATCTGGGCAGATCCCACTCGCACTGAGATGAACTCCAATCTGGCCTTCCTCACACACTCGGCAATGGTTAGGATGATATCGTCGCTGTATATCACTCCTCCGCAGTGATGTTTGCTGTTGATTTGCACCGAGGCTTGCCAGGGAACTTGTTCGATGCCTATGGCCTCGAAATCGGCTGCTATTTGGGCAGTGAAAAATAACAGCAGGAAGCCTTTGAGCAGCATTTCAACGAACTACTTTCTAAGTCCACCGCGTAGAGATCACTGAGTGCTAACAAAATACACTTCAGACCAGCTTATATAGACTCATTTTGCAAAGGCATATTTTTTGGCATATTTATCGGCAATTGATTGTTTAGTCACGCTTTCGATTTGAGTTGAGCTACTTACGGCTTTTGATTTACTGATGCATTTTTAGAGCAGGATTTTAAAGACAGATGTATTCGTAGTCAGGTTGTCTGTAAAAGATGAGATGTAAAATTCTGTTTATATCATTTAAATTTACATATTTTTTGCCTTGGCTTTCTATATATACTTTTCAGAGCAAATTGGGTGTCCAAATAAAGCCATTAATTTCCTGGTGGAATGTTTTTCTTCGCAATTTCTTGGAAACCTCTTGCAGTAATTACGATTATCAAGCATACGCAGTGGTGACCAGCAAAGATAAATTATTTACAAAAGTGGCAAGCAAAGTTTATCTTTCACCCGACAGACAACAGTTGCCATTTGGCTGTTGATTTTTATGAAAGAATTATGGCCACGCCGTGGGGGTGAAAAGCCGAACTAAATGGCTTCCTGTGGCTGCAGTTTTTCCGCCTTCCGCTACCCGCTACCCGCTTTTCATTGTCTTCCCCTTGGGAAACCTGCTGTGCAAGACGTATAAATGTATTTCGCAAATTGTAATTTAAAGCATTCTGGAGCGCGGCCAAGTAATAATTTGTGTTGCAATTGTGCATCCTCTCGTCCTGGCAACGGATTCCGCATTTTGAATGGTGAAATGGAAATGGAAATGGCGGAATTGATGCGCTCCACTGCACTGAGCCCGGGTCTTATCCTTAGCAGGAGCTGAGCTGAGAGGAGCTGGCATTGTTATCGCATCCCTAGTATATTTTCCGCGCTTTCCTCCATTTTCCCCGGTGGCGGCATATCAATGCGACTGCTTGAGAATAGCATTTTATTGCTTCAAACAACATGGAAAGTCAAGTGTTGCAGTCCCCTTATTTTTTGTGCTTTTCCGCATCCGCCCTGGATGCGATGGATGCGAAATCGTTTGGCGAAATCGGTTCGGCGCAATAAATTCTATTAAAATGCAATTTGAAGGCTCTGTGATTTTAAATAATGCCAAGAGCCATCGGGTTAATGCAGACAGCCGGCATCCTTGGCGCTTTGTTATCCTGGCAATCGTTTCCTTTCCCAATTTTTTCATCCCTTCCAACTGGAGATTTATGCAATCTCCTGCTGTTGTTTGTTCGCCGAAGTACGAAGGATATTCGAAGTATTTATGGTCTGCCCGGAGGGTCCTTAGCTAATTGGGTTGTCAATTTAATCGGAAGTTGTTGAGGCTTATCCCCGCGGATTTACCCAAAGTGGGCTTTCTTCCTTCTGTAAATACTTCAGCGTGTGTATGGGGAAAACCGCAGCCAAAAGAAATTGCAATTTAATTAATGCCAAGTGAGAGAGGAGATTAAAGTAGTTGAAATGTCATTAGCACAGCAGCCGAAGGAGCTGATAGGGAAAGAGGGATCAGGCTCAGGGCCAAAAGGCATCGAGGGGTCAACGTGTTGACCACACAATTGTGTGGTCACGTGATGACTTTTTGGCGCTGCTCTTGTGGTCATCATTTTAGCCACAAAAAAGCGAGGAGATGGAGCAAGGAAACCACAGGCAATTCGCTGACTCCGGGGATTGTCTCCGGCTTCTTTTTTGGCTCCTGCTCTTAAAGTTGCGCCGGAGATCGTGTTAAAAATTCATTAGGAGTTTTAATTAAAATTCTCTCTGTGGCCCACAAAGGCGCGTTCAACACTTAGCGTTCTGACAGCCCACAAAAGAAGTTTGCGGCGGAAACCTCGAAAATAAAAATGAGCACAGAACTTTTTTTCGGCCAGCCATTGCCCTCGCAGGCTCATAATTTCCAGGACCCAAATGTGGGGGAAAAGCTTGGGGAAATGAGTGAAAAGCAGCACGTGGACAGCCTCCATATGTGACCGTCGGCACTTTACATGCATGAGTACGTGTCCTTTTAATATCCTGCACACAGGCGCCGCTGTGCAACTTCCGCTGGCAAATAAATAAAGTATAATAAACACGCAAATACTTATTTTTATTTTGTGTGCCTTTTGTGCACTAATATGAGTTGATTTGATGTTTGTTTTAATTACTCAAATATTTGGTACCTAATGTGAAATATTAAAGCACAACATTTAACTAGGACAATGACACTTTGTCTGCTTAACTTTTCAGGCTGAGCTACTTTTAGTATTTAGTTATGTTCATTAGGCTGGGCACGTCAACAATGTCTGTGAAATAACTGGAAATTGGAAAACTATTAACCAGTCTCATTTTGCATAATGAAAGCTGTCAATTTGGGTTATTTCGGCAGAGATTACGTTCGTTTTTGAAATGCTGAGGCCTCAGTCATCATCATTCAATGTCATCAATAATTTGAAACAACATCAATTAGGGCATTTCGTGTTTTTCGTGTTATTTGAATATTTTTAGCCATGTAATGGAATTCTCCAGTGAATGGCCAGGGCCACGCGTCATTTGACGCATGATTGTGACATCCTGGCCTCGATTTCGGTGTACATCCCATCGACAATGCGATGCTCATCGCATAATCATAATTAGTTTTGCATAATTTGACCCACTCGCTGGTGTTTCGGCTGTGCAATTTTCGTTGTGTCCCCGAATGATATTCAATTACAAACGTTGCCCAATGTGCTAAGCATTTCGAATGTCTGGCCGAAATTAATTTGTTTGTGTAACTGGGCAAACTAACACTAGTCCTGTTCCTGTTCCTCATCCTGCTCCTGCTCCTGCTCCTGCATCCTTTGCCCTGCTCCCTGGGAGGTGGAGGTGTGCAAACAAATTGCGTACGTGTACGGGCGGCGAGGTCCTTCTGGTCCTTTGGTAATTGTAATGCGAGCAAATAAACGAGCGAGTGCCACACGAATATTCATACAGCGACAGCACACACACATACATATGTGTGCACAAAGGACATTTGTACTCACACACACACCCACACACAGGGGCAAATGGAGATGGAGTGAAAGGCAAATGCCGACAGGACAAGTGCTTGATGTGGGTGCCTTGTTATTGTCATACCCTCGAACAGCACAAGTTTTTAATTTCAATTTTTCCGCTCGCACTCTCACCACTTTCAGCTCCAGAGTCCGAAACAAGTTGTGTTACAAATTTGAATTTATGTCCTGCCAACACCTGCGATATCCTGCTCTGGTCACCTCCATTCAGGCGGGGTTTCCGTTTCATTTTCGTCCTGATCGCATAAACTTTTGCCAGCACATTAGCTACATATGACACCTTAAAGTGTTTACCTGCACTGGGATCGCCGTGCTGGCCGGGGGAATTCCCTGATTGGATCCGGGTGTGGAGGACGAGAAGGACGAGAAGGACTTGCTAAAATTGAATTCAAAAAGTTATGAATAGTTAATAACTGCGGAGAGCAGGAGGATGTTATGGGAATGTGAACGGGAGCAAGTGGCAAGGACAGTAAGACATTGCAGCTGAGCGAAGGCCTTGGGTGAATCGTTGAGGAATATTTAAATTGCTACTTGATATCAGAAGTGAAATGTGTAATAAAATATGCCTCAAATGCCCTGTCATATGTGAATTTCGCTTTACATACCGAACTCCCCGCTCTTTTAACTATTTAATCGCATATATGTGGCAAATGACAAAGTGTTTAAGACTTTAGAGTTGTGCCACCCCTTAATTGTTTTAAAAATGAGTCCTTTGCAATCACGGACATTAAATCCCAGCCAAAACAATAGGTGCTGCTCCCTGTCGCATATCTCCTGTCACATCGATGTTTAACTGACCAGACTTGGTTGAACCCTGACCCGAATCTATCCAACCCATTGTTCCGACATCGGCTGAATTATTAATCAACAATAGGAGCGCGCAGAACAATGCCAGTGGAACCTAACACTTTCCCTCTGTCAAATTCGGGTTGGACATGTGCCGAATCGGATATATATATCCCCATATACCCCGCCGATACCTGACTGCTGTCAATGCAATCCACATTTACCAGGGCCTTTTTCATTAGAGCCATTTTCGTTAATTACTGCTGACTAAGGATGGGAAAGCGGAGGAAAACACTTTGTTGCCACGTCCGTGAAGTGTATGTTTCCACTTTTGCGAACCGAATAATGCAGAGGGAGAAATCCTAATAATATACGCACTATCAAGATCGAAAACTGTCAACTTTATCCTGATGCTTAGCTATCACAAGTGACATACAACTATCTTCTGGCCCAAATCATTTGGATTTATTGTGCGCACGGCTCAGGCACATTTTTCTCTCAGTGCCTCAGTTCTTTTAGCTGCAGTTCCTGTCAATCGTTGTTGCAGTTGCAGGACCTCGATTTCATTTCGGTTTCGCTTTTGTTTTCCTTCTCGGCATCGGTTTGGCATCTCTGACCTATAAATCATCTAATGGCCAGGACAGGTTGGGTTTTTGTGGTGTTTTTTGGGCTGGGGATCAGGATGGGCTTGGGCATGGGAATGGGGATGGGATTGGGGATATTGCCGCTGAAATCGCCCCCGCACATGTGTCAATATTTGTGCGAGATGCGGCCGCAGTCTCATCGACACAAACACTCTCCATCATCCACATTCGGTTTTGGTTTTTGTGGGTTTTAGTTTGTTGCTCTGCGAGTTGCAGCAGCTTTGTTGTTCATTTTGGCACACGCTTTTAGTTGTTTAAATTTAAGTTACTGGACAGCTCAAAAACAAAAAAAGAAGATATAGAGCAGAAAGATAGCAAAAGGATAGCAAGAGGTCAAAAATCACATTGAATATTTGAGCTTTTATCGTCCGACAGTCGACTTAATTTCCGTTTGTATTTTCATTGCCCGATTCGAAAGTTCGCAGCTTACATTTGTGAACAGATGGACATCTGTTTTGCACTTCATTTGTTATGGAATTGAATTTCTTGAGGTTTTCTCCGCCGGCTCCTTCTGCTCTTCGTTCTGCGTTTTTCTTCTGCACAACGTGGCGTATGGGCAACTTATTTGCCAT